TGGTCTAAGCTGGCCTCTAGCCCCATCATCCTGCCTCATGCTGGAATCGCTGCTGTACACCATCACATCCAGCTTCCAGACTTCCTACAGTGTTCTCATCATTGCCGATAATTCCAGTAGGCAAAGGCGCATAGTGCCAACAACACCGTTTATAGGAACGGAAACTGAAGCATGGAGAATGACTTGTCTGTTTGAGACACGGTCTCTTTGTGTAGTCCTGGCTGTCCTGAAGTTGGCTATGGAGACCAAGCTGGCCTCACACTCACAGAAATCCTCCTGCCTCTGCCTCCCCTGTGCTGGGATTAAAGGCATGCTATACCCCACAACCAGAAAGAGCCTGAGTCCAATTAACATCGAGTTGCTAGGATCTTACTCCCCACAGGCCTGGGACATTTGTTCCCCAGTCAAGGATAAAGCAAGGACAATCCTAGGTCAACATTAATGACATCTGATTTTGGATAGACTTTCTCCTTCTCTCATCTTCATACTTCCTTTTGTTTCCCTTCTGTTCTAAGCAACAGGGGGGCCTTAATAACGATGAGGCAGAAGCACTCTTGAGTCCCTGGCCAGCATTCCTACTGTCTCTGCTGGCCTCTCCCTTTGGACACTCAAACCATCCTCAGGCCCAAGCCAACAGCACTAGAGCCAGGCTGGAGAGGGAGGTCTACTGTGCCGGTTTCATGGCGGCCTTGGTCCCACACTGGGGAGAAAGGAGTTAAAGCCAGGTCCCAGGATCACAGGGACCGGGAAGTTCCGGTGGCCCAAGCAGGAGTAGGTCAGGGAGACCCGCTGGGAGAGTAGTTTGGGACAGACAGGGAGGCAGTGCCAGCCGTGCCAACCTGCGCTTCAGCGTTTGGTACTCACTGGTAAACGCCCCCACCTCCACCCCAGCCTCAAAGCCGGTTTCCCCTTGGTCCCCTGCAGGCTGCCATCAACCTAAGATAATCGGAGGACAGTGGTCAAGCCTCTCTGGGATCAGAAGGCCAGCTGGGCTCTGCCACCGGCCATTGTCTGCGCGCAACCCGCGGAGGGGCTCGAGGGGCGGGGCCGCGGGGCGGGAGCGAGGGAGGGGCGGGGGGGAGATGCTGAGCCTTCAGGGGCGGAGGCGGCAGCGGCGACGGCCGCAGAGACGAGATCGCGAGCCGGGAGGGCGGCAAGGCGGCGAGCGTGCAGCTCGAGGTCGGGCTGGGCGACTGCACCCGGTGCTGGCTGCGCGACGCCGCGCTGCTCTCGGCTTGGACGGCCTCTCCCATGCGCTGAGAGTGCCCGGCTGGGCCGGGCGGGCGGCCGGACGGGAGGATTCTCTCCATGGTCCAGAAGAGCGGAATGTCCCGGGGCCCTTACCCATCTTCCCAGGAGATCCCTATGGAGGTCTTCGACCCCAGCCCACAGGTGAGGGGAGGTGCCTGGCTCGAGGGAAAGGGACCGCTCCTGCGGACCTTGGGGTTGGCTCGAGAAGCTCCGGGAAGGAAAGGGTTATATGCCCAGCGTGGATGGGAGAGGGGTCTGCACGACCCCCCCCCCCATTCTGGAGGGTTAATGATCGATTGACTATTAGCCGGAGTTGGGCCGCGGTCCTGCGGAGCGGAGACGGGGTGGGTGGAATGCCTGTCAGCCTCGCCTCCAGGTCTCCCCCGCGTCCAGGTCCCTGCTGCTGGGGTTCAGGCTCCAGCGGGCTGACACCGGGGTTGCTGATGGAAGCGGGGGGGGGGGGAATCCAGGCCTTGAGGAGTTGGAGGGAGGCTGGAGAGCGAATCAGGCGATGGGAGCAACGCAGAGCACGTTTGGGGGCGCTAGCGGGTGTGGGTGGGGTGGGGGTAGTATTGGGAGACAGCAAAAATGATGGTCAGAGGGCGTTGCCAACAGGCCTTCGAAGGCTCAGACACTGGCTTTCGAAGGTGGGGAAGGGATCAGCCCTGGGAGGCCTCCCCTGGTCACCTGGTCTCCATCCCTCCCTTGGATGTTTCCCTCCCCCCAACACCCACATTGGCTTACCCCTCCCCCCTGCCCCAAGGGGTGGGAGCCTCCGAAGTTTGGAAAGTTGGATGGGTGCCAACTCACTGTCTTGGAGGAGAGGAAGCTGTTTTACCTGGGGGAGGGGCTCTGCTTTTGCCCACTCTCACTTTTTCTATGGTCCCTGGGTTACCCCCAGGTAGGGGCATTCTTGGCCATAGAAAGTACCCAAAGAATGACCGGTAGGGTATGTGGTGGCCATGCCAAGGGATTTTTCTCAGACTTGTCCTTCTCCAAGGATAGCATTAACTCTTGCATTGCTGTGGCCAGACTGGAGCCACTGTAAGCACCAGGATGTGGTTGATGGGTGTGTATGGGGGGGGGTCAGGTCAGACCTAAAAATACCTCATTCCTCCACCCCAGGCCCCTTGGAGCCTGGGAGGCAGCTGACTGATGCCTTCCTTTCAGCTGTCCCCTGTCCCTCTGAAAGCCACTCCCTTTGCTCAGCTGGGTTGGGGTAGTGATGGGAAAGAGTCTGAGTTCACCACAGGATCCTCATAGGTTTGTAGGGAAACTCAAAACTAGATTTGCTGTACATCAGCTTTGGAAGAAGAAGAAAAGGAAAGAGGATCATGGAAGTGTGTGTGTGTGTGTGTGTGTGTGTGTGTGTGTGTGTGTGTGTGTGTGTGTTAGGATCTTATGTAGTATAGGTTGGCCTTGAACTACTGATCCTCCTGCCTCTACTTTAGAAGTGTGGAGATTACATGTGGGGATTACTATGCATGGCTATCCAGCCTCCTTGTTACCAGGCCTCAGGAGTCAGAGCTGCAATGTGGTTGAGGCTCCTCTAGGGTCTTTGGTCAAAGAAAGTCTGGGGTCAGGGGCTCTTGGACATTCTGCCCATTCTGTACTTGGCAAGGGCCAAGTGGGGGGGGTGGGGAGTGAGAGGGAGCAAAGAAGCAGCTCCCTTGTAGGAAGCATGGAGATGGCTGAAGCCTTGGTCCATACCTTTGGCATCTGAGAGGTCAGGCAGGAACCCCCCCATCCCAGTAAGAGTCCAGTAAGATTGATAGATAAGCCATCTTTTTTTTTTTTTTTTTTTTTTTTTTTTTGGTTTTACGAGACAGGGTTTCTCTGTGTTGTTTTCAGATAGATAAGCCATCTTACCTAGGACTGGCAGGACTAGGTTCTAGTCTCAGCTTGGGGCGGAGCAGAAGGGGCCTTTTGACTGATGGAGCAGGGTTAGTACTGTGGGGAGGGGGCATGGGCAGTATCAGCTGGAGTGGGAGTAGGGTGGATCCTACCTTGGGGAGGAATATAAACCCTGCTTATGAGGAGGGAGGCCGAGGACGGTCCTGGTGGGGTGGAGGTGAGAGTGGGAAGCAGAACCTACTCCCGAGGCGCTGGGCCACAGGTTGATGTCTACTTTCCAGACTCGGTTCCGTGCCTCCTCCCTCCTTTCCTTCCCCAGAAATGTGGAGCTGAGTGTCTTACCCTCTCTCTACTCTGGAAAGCAGAGAGCACAAGAGTTGGGCTCAGGGGAGGAACCAAGCCTGGCCCTGGGTTGCCTTCCCTCCTCTCTCTGGGGGCACAGCATACTCTGCCCCCTCAGCTCCAGATGCAGGAGAGGACATCCCCCTCTCTTCCTCCGCCCCCCAGCACTGCAGGCAGCCTCTCCCTTCCCCCAGGCTGCTGCAGCCTGCCCAGCATCTTAATTAGCTTTGCTGCCTAATGAACCTCCCATTCCTCAGGCCCTCTGCTTCCCAGCCTTTGGCTTGATTTGGGGATCTCTGTGTGTGCATCCCAGGCTCTCTTGCGTGGTTCAGCCTGGCCACCTCTAGGAGAGGAGAGGGGTGGGGTGGAGCAGACTGTCGTGGGGCTGGCCCTTAGACCAGCTCCTGTAGGAGGCAAACAGGGAAAGGGTCTTTCTGATTTCACTCTTGTTCCTTCCCCACCTCTCCAGGGCAAATACAGCAAGAGGAAAGGGAGGTTCAAAAGATCTGATGGGAGTACATCCTCGGATACAACATCCAACAGCTTCGTCCGCCAGGTAACTGGGGATGGTGACTTGGGAGGGAGATGCAGTTGGTTGGTGCCGGCTGAACTGCGACTTACTCCAGGCACCCTTTCTCATGTCATTTGTCACCTGCCTGGAACCACCACCACACTCTGACACCCTGTGACCTCTCGTGGATGCCTGTCAGCTGCACCCACTGCCTCAGCCCCCACTCCCGCTCCCGCCCCCGCCAGCCCCTCCTCCAGCACCAGCTACCAGCCCCTGCTGCCTGCCTGCCTGCCTACGTCATCTCATTCAGGGACAGCCTGGCCTGCCTCCTCCTGGCTTGTTTCGGGCTGTCACCCACTCCCCCTGCCGGCTGTCTGCTTCCATGTCCTCCCCCAGAATCTGTGCCAGGGTGGGGCTGAGACAGGTGCTTGGAAATAAGCTGAGACACTGGGCTCTGGTTAGGTGTGGGTCAGGAACACGTGCTCCCCACTTCCAAAAGGACTCTTGAATATGCACAGAAAACAAGATATGGGAGGAGAGGTGTTTCGCTTTAGAGAGCTCCAGCCTGCATCCCTAGCTTAGCAGGTGCTGACAGTAGCTCCCTGGGCCCTCGTGCTGAGCTGGGAAAACGGCCACTTTCCTCTCTTCCCTCAACCCCAGGCCATCTTAGGCTGGGGAGAGGCAGTGAGGAGGCATGTGGTTGCTATGACTACTGAGCATCTCAACAAAGTCTGGTACCCAAAAAAGGCAAGAGGGGCTTGGGATCAGACAAGAAAAGGAGTGTGTTAAGGAGATAATAGGCAGAGCATGAGGGAGAGGACATTAGACAGGAGGAACCCCCTGGAGTGACCCCCACTGTGTCCCAGAGAACGTAGTAGCAGGCTGAGCCATGGCTGACTGGAGTGAGTACTTTCTTTCTGACTCTTCGGTCTCTAGGTTGACACATGTGATCCCAGGCCTAGCTCCAGAAACTGAAGGGAGGCCTTGATCTGAGTGTGTCTAAAATACACAAACAGTCCAGAAGTCCTTTCTTTAGCCATTCCTTCAGCCCTCCCGTTCTGGAACTGGGCCCAGGCCAGGTCTAGAAAGAATGAAGATGTGCTTCATTCTTACTCAGGGCAGGAAGAGCCTTCAGTTTCCCCTTGCCAGCCAAGGGGGTCAGACCCTGCAGCCTCCCATCTTCCTTTTCTTAGCTCCCCAAGTCCTACCCCCAGTAGGTGGCAGGAGTGGGGGGCAGACCTTGCCACATCTCTGAGCTAAATATACTCCAGCCGTTTGCACATGTAGCAACTCTGCTTGTAACCTGAGCCCCTGGGGGAACGGGCTGTGTGGGCCACCCTAGGCCAGCAGGGCTGGGCACTGAGGGTGCCGGGATGGAGGCGCCCAGCCGGACCCTGGTAGTGGTGAGCTGGGGATGGGCAGGTGGTGGTGGGGGGAACAATGCCTCTCACCGCTGTGGAGGGCCTTTCTCCAGCCCGTCTCCTTGCTTCCTGGCTTTCCCGTCTCCCATTTCTCATTGTGTGTGTGTGAGTGTGCATATGCGAGTCTGTTGGGGTCAGTGGGTGCCCCTGACTATCCACCTCTGCTTGTCTCTCTGTCTGTCTGTCCATCTGTATTCTTGTTTTGGGGGACTGTGTAACAGGGGAGAGTGGGGGTTCTTTTGCTTCTCCCTCCCCTGACTTTGTCTCTTTTCCAGCTTTAATTAGTGATACAAATCCTAGCCCAACCCTCCTGCAGTGAACCCCCCCCCATTCCCAGATTTTCCCCAGGAAGGAAATGCCTGTACCAACTGATGGCCAGGGGTGTTGGGGAAGAGGTAGGTCCCGGCCTCCTCTCTCCATGCCAAACCAAGGGACAATCCCAGGCAAGTGAGTCTTTCCTGCCCTCAGGAGAAACCCCTCACATCCCTGTAATCCCACGTCTTCCCCGTATTCCCTCCCAGACTTGTCTGCCACCACCCAGAAGTCACAAGTCCCCACATCCTGTCCTTTGCCACCCTTTGTCTCCGCCATCATGGACATAGACCTCTGGCTGTCCCTGGTGACTCGATTGTTCACACCCTGCGACACACACTATGATATACATCTTTTCCTTTTCTCTTTTTGGAGACAGGGTTTCTCTGTATAGCTTTGGAGCTTGTCCTGGAACTCTCTCTGTAGACCAGGCTGGCCTCAAATTGTTTTTCCTTTTTTTTTTTTTTTTTTTTGAGTACATTTTTTTTCAAGCACACTTTTTATATTTCCAAATACACATATACACACACACACACACACACACACACACACACACACACACACACTTCCTGACCAGTGCAATGACATCTGTACAGGTTCCATGTGTCTCATACATATGAACATGTCTCTACTAGAGTTCTTTGAACTCTGGGATGGTGACTGTGGCCTAAGATGGCTTCCAGTCTCCTCAACCTGACTTTACCTTGGCATTCTAGCAGCCTGGTGCGGGCAAAGGCTGCTCCATGATCTGCCCTTCTCTTACATCTCTTGTCTGCACTTCCCTGAAAATCGAAGGAGAGCCTGGAGTGCCTCTAATCAGAAATTCCACATAGAGGGGGCTGGGAAGTAGGTGTCTTGCTCCTCTGATCCTCGAGCAGTATTTTTTGTGGCCCTGGCATTCCAACCGTGAGGATTCAGGCCTAAGAGAGTGGCTACTGTCCCTGGAAAGGATGGTGTTGAGCTTCTACTGTGACTTCTCACTCAGCCATTCAGGGGGCAGGGCAGGGAAGGAGGAGCCGGGAGTTAGATTCATCCCCTGGCACTCCTCCCTTGGGCTGTGCCCCTATCGGGTTCCCACCCTCTCCCAAGCCCAAGCAGCTGTCGTTAGACCTGTCTTAACCCCCCAGCTTGCTGTTGTCACCTTTCCTAGGGTCACACTCACCCTGCAGGCTTGCAAACCTTGATTCCTGGACTCCTCTCCCTAACAATACCTCTTCCTAGGCCTTGTGGCATTGAGCTGGACTGAGGGACTTGTGGTCTTTAAGGTGGGTAGCACTGCCATGCCTTCCCAGGAACCTGAAGATGTGGCGCTGCCCTGAACTGGCCCCCTCTGCTTTCAGGGCTCAGCAGAGTCCTACACAAGTCGCCCATCAGACTCCGACGTGTCTCTGGAGGAGGACCGGGAAGCCTTAAGGAAGGAGGCAGAGCGCCAGGCCTTAGCCCAGCTTGAGAAAGCCAAGGTGAGACAGATGAGGGGAAGGGAACTTGTGGGCATTGTCCTCACCTTCCCCTACCCCTATCCTGAGAGAGCCTGGGCAGACTCAGTGCCAGTTACTTGCAGAGGTCTGTCTCAGACCTCATGTTGTCTTTCCCCTGTGAAGAAAATGTGGGCTGGGATATCTTCCTCTCAGACAGCATTCAAAGTGACACTGTTTCCACATTGCTTGACAAGTGATGAAACTTTCTTCCTGGGATAGGGATGTAGCTCATCGATAGAGTGCTCACTTAGCTTGCACAGTGTCCTGGGTTCAATCCTCAGCACCACCAGGAAAACAAACCTACTTTGTAGAATCAAACATCCTGGATTAGAATCCCAGCCTTAGTTGTTTGTTGTGGAGACAGTCTCCTGGCCAGTTCATTCTTGCCTTAAACTTCCGGTGTTTCTGTTTCAGTCTTCAGAATATACCTAGCTTCTAGTTCTGATCCATACCCCTACACACATGCACGTGTACGCGTGCGCGCGCACACACACACGAGATTGAACCTACGACCTTATTCATGTCAGGTGAGTTCTCTATCACTGAGCTATATCCCCAGCCTTTTCTTATGGAGAGTCTTTACATATTTAAAATCACCCCTTTTTGGAGGGGCCCACCATGCTGTACTGAACATATGAAAGTCAGGGGACAACTTGGGGTACTTGTCCACTTCTACAAAGGGATCCAATTCAGGTGTCAGGCTTGTTGGCAAGCTCCTTTACATGCTGAGCCATCTCACTGGCTCTCCTCTCTGTTTGAAACAAGGCCTTATTCTGTAGCCCAGGATGTCCCAGAATTTACAGCAATCCTCATTCCTCAGCCTCCCAAGAGGTGGAATTACAGACTGAGCCACCACACATGGCTGATGGTAGCTGTTTGTGTGTACGTGTGTTTGTGTTGTATGAACTAGTGTGTATAGGAGCACACAGTCATGTATGCTGTAGGGGAAGCCAGAGGTCAATGTCAGATAGCTTCCTCAGTTGGTCCAACTGAACCTGGAGCTTGCCATTTTTACTAGACTAGCCAGTGAGCCTTCCTGGGATTCACCTACTGTGCTCTTGAAACCACAGTGCTGGGGTTCCAGATGTGAACTGATGTTCCTGGCCTTTACATGGGTGCTAGGATGTTTATCTCGGAGTGGAACACTGCCACCCCAGGAGAGGATGCTAGCCAGAAGTCATCTCAGGGCCCATCTCTGACACCCCCCCACAAATACACACATACACACACACATACACAAACATACACATAAACACACACATACATACACACACATACATACACACATACACACACATACACACACACATACACACACATACACACACACACACACACACACACACAGCACAAGCACGTTACCTACTGAGCCGTCTCACAGCCGTGGTGATAGCTTTTTGCCACCTTTCCATGACACCGTAATGTGCATAAAACAACGTACCTGATGTTCTTGGAAGAACCAACAATGTTAAATAACAGATTCTAAGCTGGGCATTGGTGGCGCACGCCTTTAATCCCAGCACTCGGGAGGCAGAGGCTGGCGGATCTCTGTGAGTTCGAGGCTGGGCTGGACCGATAGCCTCCAAAACAATACAGAGAAACCCTGTCTCGTAAAAACCAAAAAAACAACAACAACAACAACAAAAAAAAACTAGTGGTGTGATCAGCTTAGGCTTGATTGGAAGCTCAAAGCTCCAGAAGAAAGACAGCCGGGACAGGGGCTGTAGTTCAGTTGGTGCAGTGCTCCCCTAGCAAACTCGAGGCCCAATCCCCAGCATCACAAAAATCAGACTTGATGGCATACGCCTGTAATCCCAGCACTTGGGAGGCAGAGGCAGCAGGACAGAAGTTCAAGGTCATCCCAGGTTAGCCCGCACTATGACACCTTGTCTCAAAATAAGAGATGAAGAAGGAAAGAAAAAAGGGGGGTGAGGCACTGGTAAGATTGCTCAGTCAGCAAAAGCAATTGCTGGGTTCAGTTCCTGGGACCCACAGTGAAAGGACAGAATTGATTCCTGACCACAGAGATGCTATGGCATGTGCACACTCATGCTCACCCGCCCCCTCACACACACATTAAAAAAAATTAAACCAAATTAAAAGTAAAACAAAGCCGGGCGTTGGTGGCACACGCCTTTAATCCCGGCACTCGGGAGGCAGAGGCAGGTGGATCTCTGTGAGTTCAAGGCCAGCCTGGTCTACAAGAGCTAGTTCCAGGACAGCCTCCAAAACAATACAGAGAAACCCTGTCTCGAAAACAACAAAAAGTAAAACAAAACCTAGAAATAAACGATAGTGGTGAGGATGTAATAGGCTCAGTGGTAGAACACCTACCTTGTGTACAAAGCTTTGCTTGGATCCCCAGTCCTGAGAGACAAAATAATAACAGCAGATATCTTTTTTTTTTTTTTTTTTTTTTTTTGGTTTTTTGAGACAGGGTTTCTCCATGGCTTTGGAGGCTGTCCTGGAACTAGCTCTTGTAGACTAGGCTGGCCTCGAACTCACAGAGATCCGCCTGCCTCTGCCTCCCGAGTGCTGGGATTAAAGGCGTGCGCCACCACCGCCCGGCCCAACAGCAGATATCTTAATAAACAATTATGTATTTCAAAACTTGTTTTTGAGGCATAGTTTTTCCCTGTAATCCAGACTGGCCTGGAACTCATTATATAGCCTAGACTAACCTGAACTTAGAGACATCCCCCTGCTTCAGTGTCCTGAGTGCTTGACAACAGCCAGGAGCCCTGGCATCTCCAAATAAATAAATAAAACCAAGTGGGCATAGTAACAATCCTAGCAAAGCGATCAGGTTTTGTGAGCAAATGAAGTGTGTGTCCACAGTGAGCAGCGACTTTGCTGTTCCTTTGTCCTTCCCTCCGGGTGCCATTCCCCAAGGCTCCCTCCACCACCACAGGCTAGATTCCACTTTTGAATATTTTAAAATTTATCTTGTTTTTGTATGTCGTGTTGCATGTTGCAGTGTACATGTGGAGGTCAGGGGGCAACTTGTGGGAGTTGGGTCTCTCCTTCCACCATCTTAGTCCTGGGGATCGAACTCAGGTCATCTGTCACACGTGGTGGGTACCTTTACCTACTGAGCCATCTCTCCAGCCTTGAATTCCAGTGTTTGTTTCTTTTTCTTTTTTTTTTAATAATTAATTTATTTTTTGATGTACATTGATTGATGTTTTACCTGTATGTATGTCTGTGTGAGGGTGTTGGATTCTCTGGAACTGGAGTTACAGATAACTATGAGCTGCCGAGTGGGTGCTGGGAATTGAACCTGGGTCCTCTGGAAGAACAGTCAGTGCTCTTAACCAGAGTCATCTCTCCAGCTCCTATTTCTTTTCTTTGTAATCAATTAGTGTGTGTGTGCGCTTGTGTGTTTGGGCATGATGCTGTATGTGTGTGGACTTGCATGTTACGGCACATAGAAGTCACCTTTGTAAAGTCAGCCCTGTCCGTCTGCCTCTGCTTATGTTCTGGGGATTAGACTCAGATTGCCAAGCTTGTATGGTAAATGCCACTGCCTGATGAGCCATCTCCCCAGCGCCTCCCTCCCCGCCGTTTTATTGTAAAAGTTACAGAAAACCACACAATCCATTCGGTATACACTTCAGTGAATAGTTGACAGAGCAACAACCACACAGTCACCTTTGCAGTCAAGCAAGGCACTACTTGGCTCCAGTCCGCTACTCGTCATCCACCTGTGTGTCTCCTCTAGACCAAACCAGTGGCTTTTGCTGTGCGGACAAATGTTGGCTACAATCCGTCCCCAGGAGATGAGGTGCCTGTGCAGGGAGTGGCCATCACCTTTGAGCCCAAGGACTTCCTGCACATCAAGGAGGTGGGCTGAACCCTTGGCCCCTGGAGGGAGGTGGGGGTGGGAAATGAGGGGTGTGTGGGTAGAGGTGTCTGGAAGACTAGTGGGAAAAAGCTGCCGAGCAGAGCCGGGCCGAGTCTGCTGTGCAACCTCAGTCCAATCTCTTCACCTCTCTGAGCACCCGAGTTTTCATTGGTTAATGGATGGCAGTGCCTAGGTCACAAAGATGTTGAGAGGGTCTGTTGAGCCCTGGGACAGTGACAGTGTGCGTTGTAGGTGTCTGCTTTCACACGGACTGCTGATTTCCTGCAGTGTGGGTCTCTGGGAGGCGGGAATGTTCTCCCCTACTCTCTAGCAGAGGGTGGTCCACGGTCAGAAAGGGTCCTGGGCTTGACATTGTCTTGGAAACTGGGAGGCTTTCATCAGAGCTGGGGCTGGGGGATGGGGGTGGGGGTAACCTAGTTTGAGGGCGCCATCTACTGGCAGGGCTGGCCGCCTGGAGGTCCACCCCCCCCCCCCAGGGTAGCTATGCTCCCACCAGTCTCCCCTCTTAGCCTCTTGTTCACAGAAATACAATAACGACTGGTGGATCGGGCGGCTGGTGAAGGAAGGCTGCGAGGTTGGCTTCATCCCCAGCCCGGTCAAACTGGACAGCCTTCGCCTGCTGCAGGAACAGACCCTGCGTCAGAACCGCCTCAGCTCCAGGTGTCTGCCTGGGGGTGGGGCAGCGCTGTCTCTGGAGAGGCCAGCAGCCAGGGAGGAGTCCTCGGGGCGTGGCGCTGCCCTGGCCTTGCGGGGGGGGGGGGAATGCCCTGGCCTTGCGGGGGGGGCCTTGCGGGGGGACGCACACACCAGGTGTGCGCCCACGTCAGAACTCAGGTCCTGCAGCCCCACACGCTCATCAGCTCCTTTGCTTCTCTGCCCACACAGCAAGTCAGGTGACAACTCCAGTTCCAGTCTGGGAGACGTGGTGACTGGCACTCGCCGCCCCACACCCCCTGCCAGTGGTAAGAGCTGCCTGCAGCCCAGGGGAGGGAGAGTTTTTCCTAGGTGGGGAGGCTTCTCCATGGGGGTGGCCCCTCCTCCCAGCAATAGGAGGTACCCCAATCCTGAGTCCCCCATACACATACAGTGGTACCTCTCCATCAAGGATAGGGTAGCCTACAAGCTGAGCCTGTTGCGTCTCTCCTGTCCCCTCTCTGTGGTAGCTCCATCTCTCTGCCGTCCCCGGCCCTCCATGCCCCATCCATTCTCCGAGCCCTGTTCCATTCACCTCTTCTTTCTTTTTCCCCCGCCCCTCCTGTGTTCTGCACTGTGTCTTCCCGCTCATCTCACTCTTCTCCCTTCACCTCCTTCCTGACTGGTCCAGGTAACGAAATGACTAACTTAGCTTTTGAGCTAGACCCCCTAGAGTTAGAGGATGAGGAGGCTGAGCTAGGGGAGCAGAGCGGCTCGGCCAAGACTAGTGTGAGCAGTGTCACCACGCCGCCACCCCACGGCAAGCGCATACCCTTCTTTAAGAAGGTAATTCTGTCTCATTTCTTGTGAGGGGAGTTAGGACCCAGCTCTTGGCAAAGGAAGGGGCTGGAGTGGTCCAGATGTGGTCCAGTCGCCACTTCAAGCCTCAGGGCTTTCTGCCTAGCTGGATGTAAGGGGGGTGGGACAGGATGGGATGGGACTATCCTTCTCTATAAAATCCCACTCCCAGGATTGTAAAGGATGGAATGGCATTCATGAGCCCCTCCTTTCCTACTCTGAGTGGATGTATGAGGGGGTCCACTGGACGTAAAGCAGGTCCTCAGAGGAACCCTTAAAATATACTTGGAGATATCCAATAGAGTAGAGGGTGGGCTCTGAATTAGGGGCTTCCAACTTTTCTAGCTCATTCCAGAGCTAGGCTCGAAGGGCAGGAGGCATGTCCCAGTATTCTCAAGTCCACATGGTTGTCAGTCCTGCCTCCAGCCTCCTAGGCCACCTTTGGCTCCCCTTGGCCCGGGGTCCCATCCCCTCTCTGGCTCTGTCTGTCACTAACACGCATGCCTGTTATTTTTCCTCGTCTACCCACTCTTTTGCCCCTCCTCCTGTCCCGGCTCCTTCCTGGCCTTCTACCCCTGCCTGGTGCCTTCCCCTCTCTCCTTCCCTTCCCCCTCCTGGCAATCTCTGGACCCAGCCAAACAGAAGCAGAAATCGGTGAGTATAACAGCTTTCTGTGTCTGTCCCATGCCGGGATGAGCTGGGGGACCTTCTAACACCCATTCCCATATCTTTCCCCTTTACCCATCCTTCCTGGTCCTTCCCAGCCATCCCTCCTCCCTCCTGTGACACCCACATCTGGGCTCTGGGGGTCAAAGGGGGGAAAGGCTGCATGTGGGAGCCTGGATACTTGGGGAGAGGGGCTGATGCCATCTCTGCTCTGGGGTTTCCCTTCCCTGCTTCCCTCCCAGACAGAGCATGTGCCCCCGTATGACGTGGTGCCTTCCATGAGGCCCATCATCCTGGTGGGACCATCCCTCAAGGGCTATGAGGTAGGCTGTGCACCCAGATGGGCCCAGATCTCCAGAGTGTGCATGGAAAGATCTCCCTAAGATCCTGTCTCCCCAAAGCCCACACCCTTCAGAGAAAACCCCTAGAGAGGCCTGACTCATGGGAAGCCCGCTCAGGAGGGCTCAGTCTCCCAGGGAAAGTTCTTAAGAGCCCTCTTAGAGATGCCACATAAGGACCAGTGGGGCTCAGGCTGTGTTGGAGGCCCCAGGGGAGGATCCCGCCCCCCCTAGGGGCCCCTTCATCTCAAGAATTTTGAAAGAGGGTAGAAAGTGGGGGTCCAGACACCAGCAGGCTGACCTCCTGGGGGGTTTCAGAGTCTGACTTCTCCTTCTCCCCTGCCCCCCACAATGGCAGGTGACAGACATGATGCAGAAGGCACTGTTTGACTTTCTGAAGCATCGGTTTGATGGCAGGTGAGATCCTGAGAGCTGTCTCCCACCTTCCACTTGGGGATGAGCAAGATGTCTGGAGGGAACCACTCTGAGGCTCTTAGACAGAGACTAGGGTGGCAGGCCGGAAACCCTGAAACCTGTGAGTGGACAGTATGTTCTTGCCCACCGAACCCCTGACTTCTCCCTGCCTGGTCCTTCAGGATTTCCATCACTCGGGTAACAGCCGACATTTCCCTGGCCAAGCGCTCTGTCCTCAACAACCCCAGCAAACACATTATCATTGAGCGCTCCAACACGCGCTCCAGCCTGGGTAAGCTGCCCGCCTACTCTCCCCCTCCCAGCCTGTCAGCAGGGGTGGGATGTGTTGGGAATTCTCCAGAAGCTTTCCCTCTCTCCACGGCCTCCTGGGGGGTGCCTTACAACCTCCTCCCCTGACTCCACACCCCAGCTGAGGTGCAGAGTGAGATTGAGCGGATCTTCGAGCTGGCCCGGACCTTACAGCTGGTGGCCCTGGATGCCGACACCATCAACCACCCAGCTCAGCTCTCTAAGACGTCGCTGGCCCCCATCATTGTTTACATCAAGATCACATCTCCCAAGGTGGGTGCAGGAGACTGGTTCTAATGGTAGACGTGGTCTACAAGGAACGTCCCTGAGCGGGGCTGCTTTTCATGCTATGGCTTCTGATAGTCTGTTATCCCCCTCCCCCACCCCGTCTTTAGTTCCCTTCTCTGTAAGACTCATGTGGATATGGAAAGTGGTCTGTACCTTCTGTGTATTCAATATTATAAATTTTATTAGGGTTACACAGGTTAGTCTCATCTCTACTCTTTTGTCCATCATTGGATCAGAAAAATGAAAGGGTCTGGTATGGTTTGTTCCAGTGTCACCCAGCTATGTATGTGGCTGTTGGAAAGTTTTGAATCTTCTAATGTCAAGCTTTTTTTTGCTGTACTGTCTTCATGTGGGCCTGAGACAGAGGATAATGGCAGGGAGGCTGATTTCATTTTCATTATGTTGTGACTCTGAACTTTTTCCTTTCCTTCCTCTTTTAAATTTTTTGTTTTTTTGTTTGTCGAGACAGGGTTTCTTTGTATTGTTTTGGAGGCTGTCCTGGAACTCGCTCTGTAGACCAGGCTGACCTTGAACTCACAGAGATCCGCCTGCCTCTGCCTCCGGAGTGCTGGGATTAAAGGCATGTGCCACCAACGCCTGGCAGTTTTTTTCTTTTTAATCATGTATCTACGTGTGGGTATATGCATGTATGTACAGATGCCCTGGAGGCTGGAGGCATGGGCTCTCTGCAGTTGGAGTCTCAGGTGTTGGGAGTTGTCCCACACGGATGCCGGGAATCAAACTTGAGTCCTCTGCAAGTGTGGTGCATGATCTTTTTTTTTCTCTTTAATTTTTAAATTTTTATTTTACTTTTCAAGACAGCTTCTCTGAATAGCCTTGGCTATTCTGGAACTAGCTCTGTCAACCAGGCTGGCCTTGAACTCACAGACATCCGCTTGCCTGGGATCTAAGGCACCACCAACCGGTGCAGTACTGTTCTTAAATACGGAGCCATCTCCGTCTTTTTCTTTCTTTTTTTTTTTTTTGTTTTTTTGAGACAGCGCTTCACTGTTTAGCTCTGAATGTCCTGGAACTCACTCTGTAGACCAGGCTGGCCTTCAACTCACAGAGATCCTCCTGCCTCTGTCTCCCAAGTGCTGGGATTAAAGGTGTGCACTACCACCATCCAGCTCTTTTTCTTTTTCAAGACAGGATCTCCCTGTGTGGCTTGAACTTGCTTCCTTTGCTTTAACTTACTGACTACTGGGATTCAGACATGTGAAATCACACCTGGCTCCATCAACTTCCCTTTCTAGATGTTAGTGGGGACTTGAGAGACATAGAATAAGAATTTGGATGACGGTTTTGTTTTGTTTTTATCTGTGTAGCTGTGGCTGTCCTGGAACTCGATATGTAGATCAGGCTGGCTCCAGCTCATGTCTGTCTCTGCCTCCCAAGTGCTGGGATTAAAGGCGTTTGCCACCACTGCCCAGCTTATTCTTAATTTTTAACAATTAATTTTGAGGCAGGGTCATATGTAGCCTAGGCTGGCCTTGAATTTAACAGTCCTCCTGCCTCAGCCTCTTTAGGGCTGCATGAAAGGGATAGGCCACCACACCTCTCTGAAGCCCAGTGTACCATCCAATTGATGATGGCGGCTGTGGTAGGGACTGTCTGTCCATGGGAGTGTGTGTCCTGTGAGCTAAGAACCCTGTGACATTTTCTTGACCTTTCTGAGTCCTTGGCTCCTAATGCTATAACCGGCATGATGGGATTTACATGCTTTGAAAAGATCAAATGAGGTAATGGATGCAAAACATCCCGTGGCCTAGGATGTAACAGAGATTCCATTTCCTCCTTTGAGGTTACGGGCGTGGGCTCAGAGTGCCTGGGCTTCCTACTTACTGTGTTCTCCTGGCACGTCTTCCAACATCTCTGTGCCCTAGTTTTCCCTCCTCTACCTAGTCACGCTTCAGTGATTATTGTGAAAACTTAGCAACAGGATTAATTATGCAATAAAGCCTGGTGCCCACGAAGGTACCATGTTCTTTCTGTTAGCTTTATTTTCAGTTTTTGAGATAGGATCTCATGTAGTCCTTTCTGGCCTCAAATTCACTGATCCTCTTGACTCTGTTTCCCAAGTGCTTAGGATTTCAGTCACATGCTGGCATGTGTCACCATGCTCTGGCTTTTTGTTTGCTTGTTTTGAGATGGGGTCTCCTGTATCCCAGGCTAGCCTTGAATTCACTGTGTATCAAGGGGTGACACTGAAGACATTGAACTTCTTGTACATGTGCATCTGTGTGTGTGTGAGCATGTGTGTGTGTATGTGCAGCTGCGTGTGTGTGTGTGTATATGTGCAGCTGTGTGTGTGTGTGCATGTGTGTGTATGTGCAGCTGTGTGTGTTTGTGTGTGTATGTGCAGCTGTGTGTGTATGTGCAGCTGTGTGTGTGTATGTGCAGCTGTGTGTGTATGTGCATGTGTGTGTACGTGCAGCTGTGTGTGTGTGTATGTGCATGTGTGTGTATGCGCAGCTGTGTGTGTGTGTGCATGTGTGTGTATGTGCAGCTGCGTGTGTGTATGTGCATGTGTGTGTATGCGCAGCTGTGTGTGTGTATGTGCATGTGTGTGTATGTGCAGCTGTGTGTGTTTGTGTGTATGTGCAGCTGTGTGTGTTTGTATATGTGCATGTGTGTGTGTATGTGCATGTGTGTGTACGTGCAGCTGTGTGTATGTGTGTGTATGTGCAGCTGTGTGTGTGTATGTGCATGTGTGTGTATGTGCAGCTGTGTGTGTTTGTTTGTGTGTGCGCAGCTGTGTGTGTGTATGTGCATGTGTGTGTACGTGCAGCTGTGTGTGTATGTGCATGTGTGTGTATGTGCAGCTGTGTGTGTGTATGTGCATGTGTGTGTATGTGCAGCTGCGTGTGTGTGTGTGCATGTGTGTGTATGTGCAGCTGCGTGTGTGTATGTGCATGTGTGTGTATGCGCAGCTGCGTGTGTGTATGTGCATGTGTGTGTATGCGCAGCTGTGTGTGTGTATGTGCATGTGTGTGTATGTGCATGTGTGTGTATGTGCATGTGTGTGTGTATGTGCATGTGTGTGTTTGTGTGTGTATGCGCAGCTGTGTGTGTGTGTGCATGTGTGTGTATGTGCAGCTGTGTGTGTGTATGTGCATGTGTGTGTATGTGCAGCTGCGTGTGTGTGTGTGCATGTGTGTGTATGTGCAGCTGCGTGTGTATATGTGCATGTGTGTGTTTGTGTGTGTATGTGCAGCTGTGTGTGTATGTGCATGTGTGTGTATGCGCAGCTGTGTGTGTGTATGTGCATGTGTGTGTATGTGCATGTGTGTGTATGTGCATGTGTGTGTGTATGTGCATGTGTGTGTGTATGTGCATGTGTGTGTTTGTGTGTGTATGTGCAGCTGCGTGTGTATATGTGCATGTGTGTATGTGCAGCTGTGTGTGTGTGTGCATGTGTGTGTATGTGCAGCTGTGTGTGTATGTGCATGTGTGTGTATGTGCAGCTGTGTGTGTGTATGTGCATGTGTGTGTATGTGCATGTGTGTGTATGTGCAGCTGCGTGTGTTTGTTTGTGTGTGCGCAGCTGGGATCCCCAGAGAAAACCTCCAGTGTGGTTCCTCAGGTGCCATCCACATTTTTTGAGACAGGGTCTGTCACTGGTGTGATGGGCTAGGTTGACTGGCCCCAGGGATCCATTATGGATCTAGAATTGTAAGCTCACACTACTATGCCCAACTTTTTATGTTAGTTCTGGGGATCGAATTCAGGTCTTCAGTCTTGGGAAGCAAGTACTTTGCCAACTGAGCTACCAGCCTGGTCTTAAACTTTGGATCTGCCTCATTCCACCTCTTGTCGTTTCATTTCATTTAAGTATTTCACTGCTAGGTATCAAACCCAGAGTCTTGTAAGTGCCAAGCAAGTGCTATGCCACCAGGCTATACCTCTAGCCCAATTTCACTTTTTTTTGTTTTTTGTTTTGTTTTGTTTTTGTTTTTCGAGACAGGGTTTCTCTGTACTGTTTTGGAGGCTGTGCTGTAACTCACTCTGTAGACCTGTAGACCAGGCTGGTCTCGAACTCACAGAGATCTGCCTGCCTCTGCTGAGATTAAAGGTGTGCACCACTACCGCCCGGCTGATTTTATTTTATTTTAATTGTTTTAGTTTTCATTATGTAGCCAAGTCTGGCCTCAATTCCTAGACCCTCCTGCATTTGATTCCTAAGTACCAGGATAACAGGCCTGTGTCATCTGCCCAGCTCTAATTTCATTTTATTTTTGTTTTTATTTCATTTTTTGGCCTGGAATTCACTATGTAGACAATTCCCCTGCCTTTGCCTTTGCCTCCCAAGTGCTGGGACTAAAGGCATGCACCACTACCCTGGCCTTTCAATTTTATTTTTAATGGATTATAAGCTCGATGTGTATGAGCTCCTGGATTCAGTTCTCAGCACACACTTAACAAAAAAATCTTATGCCTTCACCCTATTTACTTCAGCATGTGTTTCTTTTTTTTTTTTTTTTTTTTTTTTGGTTTTTACGAGACAGGGTTTCTCTGTATTGTTTTCGAGGCTGTCGGTCCAGCCTGGCCTCGAACTCACAGAGATCCGCCTGCCTCTGCCTCCCGAGTGCTGGGATTAAAGGCGTGCGCCACCACCGCCCGGCCAGCATGTGTTTCTTAAGAGGGTGAAGCAGGAAGATCAGAAGTTAAGGTCAGCCACACGAAGTTCTGAGTTCAAGACCAGCCTGGGTTTGTCTCAGTGCCCCTGTATATTATACGTTATCTAAAAATGTGGTGCCCACCTTTAATCCCAGCACTCAGGAGGCAGAGGTAGGTGGGTCTCTGAGTTCAAGGCCAGCTGGACTTAATATTGAATTCCAGGTGGAAGCCCAAATTTAGCTTTCTTCAATTGTCATGATATTCCCCCTTATGATACCATTTTCTGTAGGCTGGAGTTTTCCCACCCTGGAACCATTTCCAAATTACCACACAGAGGCTTATATTAATTGTAAATACTCAGCCAAAAACTCAGGCTTATTACTAATTAGCTCTTACATTTTAAGTTAATCCATATGCCTTATTTACCCCCTGTCACATGGTGGTACCTTATTAGCATGACATGTTCATCTCCTGCTCCCGCTGCATCTGGCTGGTGACTCCCCGGACTCTGCCCTTCCTCATTCCAGCATCCTGTTTGATTGTCCCTCCTAACTTTAACCTGCCTTGCTATAGGCCAATCAGCTTCTTTATTAACAATGAGAGTAATACACATTCTCAGTGTACAGAAGGTTTATTGCACAGCACTTTTCCATAGCCTAGGAGGCCACCCAGGATCGCACTGCATGCACTATTATTTTTTTTCTAGACAAGAGTTTTTCTGTGTAGCCCTCCTCCACCGCCCGCCACAGGTAGTCTTTTTGATATAGAGCAGCTCTTCGGCTTTCTTTAGATTTTATGACAGTGGCACTTTGTAATATTATAGGCCAACCATGTTGTAGATCTTCTCTCAGTTTGAGTTTGAAGTTCCCTTCATGGCTGGGTTTAGTGTTGGGGGACTAAATTGATCCTGTAAAGAAGCACAGAACAGCCAGGTAGAGTGTGGCAAGAGGCAAGAGGCAGCAGATCACTGGTCCCCAGGCCCTGTTGGATGTCAGCCTGGGTGACATAGCAAGCCCTCATCTCAAAAACATACTCAGAGCAGTGCTAGTAACCAGCAAGGAGTTCTTCCATGAAGGATGACTGCGGCCGGTCACATGGACTAGAGGTGCTGAGACTGGAGACTAAGACCTGTAGGCAAGGGGTGAGAGAGAGAGAGAGAGAGTATATGTGTGTGTGTGTGTGTGTGTGTGTGTGTGTGTGTATGTGTGTGTGAGTGTGTGTATGTGTGAGTGTGTGAGTGTGTGTGTGAGTGTATGTGAGCGTGTATTGTGAGTGTATGTGTATGTATGGATGTATGGATGTGTGTATATGTGTGAGTGTGTGTATGTGAGTGTGTGAGTGTATGTGTATGTGTGTGTAACTTGCATGTGGTCGTGAGCCCGAGCCTTATGTAGTGGACATAGAGCTTGTGAAATCATTCTGGCAGAGGTGCTTAGGACAGAGAATCATGGAACATTCCACCCATCTGACTCTGATTTCCCACTGGCTCCAACCAGAATCTGCCTTTTAGACTTGGTTCATTGCCTATGTCCTTCTAACTCCCTCTCTTTCCCCCAACCAGGTACTGCAGAGGCTCATCAAATCCCGAGGGAAGTCTCAATCCAAACACCTCAATGTCCAAATAGCAGCCTCGGAGAAGCTGGCCCAGTGTCCCCCCGTGAGTGCTCAGAACCGGGGAGGGAAGGGAGGGTGTGCATTTGGGTTCTCCTGTTTCCTTTGCCTGCATGGAAGACAGTACCTGGGTTATAGACTGGTCCTTGGATAAAGAGGGTGGGCAAATGACTGAAACACTCCTTAGTGTGGAGCCAAGCCCTCGTTTCCTTATACCTAGAATTTGAGGGAGTTGGGCTGAGTCCTGCAGTTCTGTCCTTTGTAGGTCTGAGTGTCCTTTCCTTGCTCCACATCCGGAGGCCTTTTAACCTTGTCCTTCAACCCCTTGACTCCACCCACTGCACCCAGGCCACACCTTCAACCCTTGGTCACGCCCCCGCTCATCCCAGCCCCGCCCCTAACCCCACCTCCACAGGAAATGTTTGACATAATACTGGACGAGAACCAATTGGAAGATGCCTGCGAGCACCTGGCAGAGTACTTGGAAGCTTACTGGAAGGCCACACACCCGCCCAGCAGCACGCCACCCAATCCGCTGCTGAACCGCACCATGGCTACCGCAGCTCTGGCTGCCAGCCCTGCCCCGGTCTCCAACCTCCAGGTACAGGTGCTCACGTCGCTCAGGAGAAATCTCAGCTTCTGGGGAGGGCTGGAGGCCTCACCGCAGGGAGGCGACGCGGTGGCCCAGCCGCAGGAGCACGCCATGTAGCAGGTGTCTCTCCGGTCTTCCCTCCCACCCTGGGGTGCAGGGATCATGGGGAAGGAAAGGAAGAGCTTTATTTTGTAAAAAAAACAAAACAAAACAAAAAAAACCGTGGTGAGCGGCAGCGTCTGGTGTCTGTGGTTTTTGGTGGGACTAGGGGCTGGCTGATGCTGCCTTCCTGGGACTGGTCCCTTAGGATTGCATCTGCTGCCCGTTGGATCTGAGGCCTGATGGGAGCCCTTATAAGTCCAGGAACTAGGAAGAAAATTTGAGGAAGATGAATAGGCTTGTTTTCATAGGACTCTACACCCTTTTCTCTTTTGTTGTTGGTTTTTGGTAGCTGGCCTGGAATTCCCAGTGTTCCAGACTGGCTGCAAACTGGAGGCAATCCTCCTGCTTCAGCCTCCTGGATACTGGAATTACAAGTTAGCAGTACAGCTCTCAGCTCCACACCCATTTTATATCTAACAGGATGGGGACCATTGAATCCAGGGAACTTGCCCCTCCCCAGCAATCCTTGAGGGACCCAAGCTGCAGCATCTATGTGCTAAGCTGTGCCTTCCACCGTCTCCCAGGGAAACAGCCCAGGAAAGGCTCTCCTCCCACGGAGCCACAGCCCGCCTCTGAGCCCACACCATTAAGTCTATGGTCTGGGTTAGAGCCAGAACACCATGAAGCTACTCTAAACTGCTGCACCTCATGTGTGTTTTGAGCAACAGATCTCACTTGTTCAGAGAAGCTGAGCCATCCTGGATCTGCTCATGGGGAGCTGGGGGCCTGGCCTCCCCTTCCCTGCCTTGGGGACCTCAGAAGCACTTCTTTGCTCTCCCCGCTCTGCCATAGAGCAGTTCCAGGAAGCAGTCTGGAAACTGGTGCTGGAGTCTGTTTCCCATGACACTCTAACCAGGAAATATGGTGCCGCAGAGAGGGTATCATTTGCTTAGTCACACAGCTCGAGATGGCAGGAGCTGTCAGCCACTGGTGACAAGGGCACCGGGCCATCTCATGCTCTCCAGTGGGTGGGGAGATAGGGGGGAGACATGGAATCATTAGCAGTCTTCAAATAGGCTGCTTTAAGGGGGGCAGGAGAGGAATCCTGTCAACCTTGGAGACTCATTTGTGTAAGGCATGGGAGAAGTGTGGGATTCTGGGAGCCTGTGCCTGAGGTCTAGTGGGGGCAGAGGAAGATGGGGTCAGTGAGTTGGAGCTGAAATCTCAGTGTATTTGGAAAATTGGAGGATTGACTAACCCAAGCAACCACTAACTAATGAGTGAGTGGCAATACTAATGAGCTGTTAACGATGATTAACCCAAGAAGGCGTTAATAACATGCATTGAGGAACCAGTGACTAATGATTCAGGGCTCCTTACCATGGTTACCAGGAGAGGTCATGCCCAGATGAGGTTGGGTGCCCTCGGGCTGATAGAGGAGCAGATAGCCGGAGCAAATGGCCTGTGGCCTGCCCTCAGGCTGAGCTCTAATAGCCAATGGCCCTGGTCCCGGGTGCCCCTCCCCTAGAGCCAGCGCCCTCCAGGAGCCAGGCTGGTGTCTTGGCACCATCACTAACCTGCCTTGCTTTGTTGTGTTTTTCTCACCCCTGCCTGATCTGCATGGTGCGTGCCGTCTGTCTGCTAACCAGGGACCCTACCTTGCTTCCGGGGACCAGCCGCTGGACCGGGCCACTGGGGAGCACGCCAGCGTGCACGAGTACCCCGGGGAGCTGGGCCAGCCCCCGGGCCTTTACCCCAGCAACCACCCACCTGGCCGGGCAGGCACCCTGCGGGCACTGTCCCGACAAGACACGTTTGATGCTGACACCCCCGGCAGCCGAAACTCTGCTTACACGGAGCCGGGAGACTCGTGTGTGGACATGGAGACAGACCCCTCAGAGGGCCCAGGGCCTGGAGACCCTGCAGGGGGAGGCACACCACCAGCCCGGCAGGGTTCCTGGGAAGACGAGGAAGACTATGAGGAGGAGATGACCGACAACCGGAACAGGGGCCGGAATAAGGGCCGTTACTGTGCAGAGGGTGGTGGGCCGGTTCTGGGGCGCAATAAGAATGAGCTGGAGGGCTGGGGACAAGGCGTCTACATCCACTGAGAGGCAGGGGCAGCATTGGGAGAGGAAAGGCTCTGAGCCCGGGGAGGGGAGAGAAGAGGGGCGCACCACCCCGAGATATGTCTTGCCTCTAGGGGGCGCTGTGACCCTCATTTTTAGATGCCTTTGCTCAAAGAAGGGTTTCTTTGGTGGTTATCATCCCAACTCCTGGGAGGCCCGAAACCCCCAGCTGTGGGTTCTTCCCTAACTGCTGTGAGTAGATGGGGGATACCTACTTTCTGAAGTGCCCCCTTTCCCCATCTTAGGGGGCTCTCTCCCTCCCAGAGAAAAGGTGCGCTTCCTTAACTCTTTCTGCTCGGGGCTGTAAGTGAAGTTCCCAACGGGGAGGGGTGGGACTTCTTTTTACCAACATAGGGGTGTTTGGGGAAGCTTGGGTGCTTTTCTTGAAGAGAGAGGCCGCTGAATCTTCCCCAAATCCCAGGCCAGGGTCCCAACCATGTCCATCCCATAACCTGGTTTCCTAGCAGCATTCTCTGGTGGGTGAAGGCCACAGCTTGGAAACCCATGTGGAGCTTGCCCTGAGAGACAGGAATCAGTTGTGCACTCTGCCCTCCAGGGTCATGGCCAGAGCCCAGGCCCAGAGCCTTGAGGAGTGAGCAAACCAAGATGCTGCCCCCCCATATCCAAGCCTTGCCTCCCCCAGGAATGAGCTCTGTCTACAGCATCCCCTGCCTGCTGCCATCGGAAGAGAGGGGCCCTCTGCATCTGAGCCCCACATCTCCGTGCCACCTGGGTGTGGAGACCATGAATATTTGGTCCACCTCATTCTAAACCAAAAAAACTGTTCCTTCACCTTCGCCCTGAGGCCCCAGGGGAGAAGCTCTGTGGGTTGGTGCCCAAGAGGTGACATCATCCAGGGCCTGTCTGAGAGCCTCGGGTCTCCCCTGGGGGTCTTGGTTGCTGCTGCTTCTCTGTATTTGCCTCTTGTGGTTCTGTCCTTTCCCGGTGTCCGCCCTCCCCCAGAGGCCTTGGCGGCCCCTCTCCCTTGGGTACCATTAGCCTCAGCATCCCCGTAGTCCAACAGCCCTGCCCCTCCCCAGCATCACAGCTGGTCCAGAGAGAGCCGATTGTGCCAACGAGGACTGGGCCCTGCCCAGCTGCCCACCTCAGGGATGGGCACCTCACGCCTGTCTCGCCACCTGTGCCAATGTTGTCCCACCCCTCACCTGGGGGCGGGGTTGCAGCTTCCACTTACAGGTTAGAAGATAACACTGCCCAGCCTTTCGCTCCCTGTCTTGTCCTGTGCCCATCCGTCTGTCTGTCTGTCTGTACTCCTCTAGGAGAGATATTTTGCCACATATAAAACCGCAGTCCTGTCCTTTGCGGCCACCTCCTGCGCCTGTTTCTTTGTTGTCAGCCTGGCAGCCTCACTGACTCAGTAGGGAGCGCTGGGGAGCCGTGGGGGAGCGTAGGAAAAAGCTGTGTCCCGGCTCTTGGGGCAAGGGAGAGCTAGTGCTTTTCTTTAGCCAGTTCTGAGTTGTCTACAAGCATTCCTCATTCAGCCACAAGCTCACGTGTTACTTTTCTGGTTTTCCCTGCAGAGGTGTATGTGTGTGGGGGGTAATGCTCCAGGCCCACTGGTCACATTTTAGTGACACATGCACTTTGTTGTTGGTTTTTTTCCTTTCTGCTTTGACCTCCTAGTGCCCTGGTAGCCCACCTCACCAGGGAGGGTGACCTTCAGAGACTCTGGGTTTTTTGTTTGTTTGTTTGTTTCAGCGGGAACTCAGAGGTTTGTCTGCCTCACCTCCTGAGCGCAGAGTTTAAAGACATATGTCACCATGCCCCCAGCAACAAGGTTTTGGTTTTTGTATCCCCCTCCCCCAAGACAGGTACTCACTGTAGACAAGACTCACCTGGAGTTTACCGTGTATCTCTAGCTGGCCTGGAATTACTTTGGCTTCCCCAGATGCTAGGATCACAGGTGTATGTGAGCCACCATGGCAGAATATTTTATTTTGGGATAGAGCTTGCTATGTAACCTCTGACTGACCTGGGACTCATGTAGTTGAGGTGGACCTTAAACTCATGCTCCTGTTGCGTCCTTCTGAGTGCTGGGATCACAGGGTTACACATGTGCCACCATGTGGGTCCTGAGAATCAGCTTCTTGGCTGAGGAGAGAGCAGCCAGCCCCCTGAGACCTGAGGAAGACACAGCAAGCAGGTGGTGGTCCCTTCCGCCACCTGCCTCACAGCACCTGAAGCTTCCCCACCCCCCTGGGTCTTGTTTCTGAGGGGATGACTCTAGAGGACTTGAGTGTGTGGTCCTCCACCTGCTGCTGCCCAAAGTGCATGTTTAAGTAAGACAGTGACAGCAGACCCCTGGTACTCCCAGATGAGGAACTCGCAGGTCACAGGGACAGACCAATGCCAGAGTCCCTTGGGGAATTGATAGTGGAGTTGATGAGAATCTTGCTCTGCCTGCCACCCCAGCCTTCTCACTACCCTTCAACTGAAGGGCATCAGTTGTTGACTTCCGTGTTTAGCTATGGAACCAGCATTTATTAAAGATCTCCTATATGGTAGGCTCAAGTCAAACAGGTCACCACAGATAGCACGAGGAGTTTCTTGCAGTGGTGTGAAATCTGGGAACACGGTCAGGTTGATCTAGCAGAGAAGTGGGAGGAAATCCCTAATGCGGAGGAAGGAGGAACATGCATGACGCGCTATTGGCCCCTGACTAACAAAGTGTGGTGAAAGCTAGTGGCCTTGACTGGAGCAGGTCACAGTAGGCCTTATGTTATGCTGAGGAGTCTTGAGTTTGGTTCTGAAACTGATGCAGGGATTGAAGGATTTAAGTGTCGGTGGCAAGATAGGGTGCAGTGTCGAGCCTGCAGCCTTTCCTGAAGAAGACAGTACTGCTACTCCAGGGTGAAAGGAAGGCTCAGCCACGTGGAAGGCAGACACCGACTACTAGAGGAAGCCTCCAGGATTTGAAGTTCTCAGAAGGGAGTAAGTTGGAGGTGGCAGGCGAGACAATTGGGAGTTACCAGGGGTGACTTCACCAGCCCCCACAGATTGAATTTTGTGGTGCCTGTGACCCCCAAGTTCAACTAATTCTTCTGCTCCAGGGAGCACAGAACTTCTGCTCCAGGGGGCTGGGGGGTTGAGGGGGAGAAAGCAGGTGTCTGAACATGCCCTGTCTCCTGTATGCCTGCCTACAGTTGCATTTGTTCAGAACTTAGAGGTGGGCACTTCTAGCTGGCGTAGATAATAGAGATGAGGAGAAAGCCTGGTTTCTAGGTAACCGCAACCCTCTACCCACTCGGGCTGCTCAGTCAGCAAGCTGGTGGTTGTCAATGCATGAGGATTTTAACAGGCATGACGTCAGTCGGCCTTGATACCACCATTACTTCCATGTCTCAGAAGCAGAGGCGGCGGAACTCTCCTAACTGGTACCTTTCCTTCACTGCTTCTCTGACTAGCTGCTTCCATTCTGGTGGATGCTGCCGCAGTGAGCTGCAGTGGGATAAGCCACAGACCCCAGATTTGCCCCAAGCTTCATTGTCCTGAAACTAATTGGGTTGAGCTGAGGCCACTTTGGCCTAGGATGGGACCATGGCACCAGGCTAATCTCCTGTCATATCTTAGCTCCAGTGACAGCTTTCTTGCTGAAGTCTGGGCTCCCTTCTAAATGAAACCTCAGAGAACCATGTCTGCAAGGCTGTGGCGGCCAGAAGAGGAGGCGGGAGTCCTTGACCTGCGTGGATGCTGGGAACCAAGCTCTCTTCCTCTGGAAGAACAGCAAGCCATGCTTAACCCCTCACTGAGCCATCTCCCTAGCCCCAAGGCAGTTCTTCTTATCTGTTCACCTAATGTGCGTGCAAAGTGTCACTTTCACTTCTGCAACTGGGTGACAAAGCAGGGTGCCTTTCTCCCCCAGACGGCAACAATGGTTAAAACACTGCTGATTCCCCAGGTACTCTGTGCCCTATCAAGAATCACAGTTCCCAATGGGAACATGCCCGATGTGCCCAGCCCCTTTCCTAGGACGGTAATGGAATCGGCCCAGATAGGCTGTGTGGACCATGCTGGTCACTTTTGTATTGTTTTAACCCTGCTCACCAAGTAGAGTGGGATGGGCGTCTTCTGTCATAAGTGCTTGGGTGGCCAGCTTCCAGGGTTTGCTTCTGCTTTTCTTTGCTCACTACAAACGTCCAGGCTTTCCTTAGGCCTCTTACACTGGTACCCATGTTACTTTTTTTTGTTTTTGTCTTTGCTTTTCAAGACAGGGTTTTTCTATGTAAGAGCACTGGCTGTCCTGGAACTCGCTCTGTAGACCAGGTGGGCCTCGAACTCACAGAGATCTGCCTGCCTCAACCTACCAAGTGCCACCACCACTCAGCTCATGTTACATTTTGAATACTCTAACCAGCCTCCCCGAGGCTGTAGCTTAACTCATTCTAATACAATCCAGTAACTTCTCTTCCTGAATCATATGCCAGAGATTGGACAAGGCAGGGGCGGTGTGTGTGTGGGGGGGCGGGGTTGGTATGTGTCAGTGAACAGGATTCAAGCCCCACACTGTAGGAAACAGGCTTCCAATCCACAGACCCCAAAGAGAGAGAGAGAGTTCTATGCAGCAGGAGAACCAAGCCAGAGCTTGGGGAATAGGTGGCGATGGTAGCAATGCAGTTAAAGGCTTCTGAGGGATTTCCTTTCAAAGCCTTAAAGGTAGAGGAGGCACCGGCTTATCTGAGTGAGGGCCAGACTGTGCAGAGCAGAGACTGTTTTTTTTTTTTTGGTTTTTCAAGACAGAGTTTCTCTGTGGCTTTGGATGTCCTGGAACTCGCTCTGTAGACCAGGCTGGCCTCGAACTCACAGAGATCCGCCTGCCTAACGCCCGGCAGGCAGAGACTGTTTATGGAGGCTCTTGAAGGCCACCTAAGGCTGCTCCAAACCCAGGGGGCAGCAGAGAGTCATGGAAAGCTTATGGAGTGGGGGAAGTCAGTGACTATGAGAAAGGCTGGTAGGAGGAGGAAGAGGAGGCCCAGGCACAGCGGAGCAGGTAGAGGCAGAAAGACCAGCTAGAGGGTCGCTGCCTTAGTAGAGGGCAGCCAGGCATAAGGGGCTGTCGGAGGCCACTTCCAGTGAGTGTTGGGGGGTGATGACTGGGACTGTTTTCTTCGAGTCTGCCTTGACTTACAGTGTTGGGGAAGACTATCAAAGATCTCCAGTTTTTTTCAGGGCCAGAGAAAAACTGTGCAGTCTGGGACTCCGAATCAGAGTCCGAATTGCTCAGCCTGAGCTCCACTTGCTTTTCCCATTTCTCTGGTTTTCTGGGTTTTCCCCAGGCTGTGAAGTTGACAAACAACACATTTTTTTTTTCTCCCTCCTCCTCTGTGACCCATGTCACCCTCTGTTGGGTCTGCCTGCTGCTGGAGCCTGTGGGCCAAGCACTCAGAAGGTTGAGGCAGGAGGCTTGCTGGCCCAGGCGACACATATTGAGGTCTTCTGAAAAACAAACAGAAAAAGATCAACACATAAACAGACCGTTTCTCCTCTGCTGAGTGTGAAACTGACCAGGGGTACCCACAAGAGGAAAGGAGACCTCAGCTCTTTTCTAGGGGAGCCCAGAAAAATGCCCACTAATAAATCAACTGCAGATGGGCTGATAGCTGGGATGTGATCTGTGAGCCTGCCTGAGGTAATTAAGAGTCTATTTTAGTTTTGGTTTTCTGTGTAGCCCTGGCTGTCCTAGAACTTGATCTGTAGGTCAGGCTGGTCTTAAACTTAGAGATCCACCTGCTTTTGCCTCCTGAGTGCTGAGATTAAAGGCATGCACTGTCATACTTGGTCATTGTGGTTTTAACTTTTTTTTTTTGGAGACAGGATTTGTCTGTGGCTTTAGAGCCTGTCCTGGAACTAACTCTTGTAGACCAGGCTGGTCTAGAAATCACAGATACCCGCCTGCCTCTGCCTCCCGAGTGCTGGGATTAAAGGTGTGTGCCACCACTGCCCGGCTGTGATTTTAAAATTTTATTTGTATTATTTTTAATTATGTATAGGTGTATGTGTGTATCTGCATGTGGGTATATGCACATAAGTGCGGCTGTCAGCAGAGGCACCAAATCCCCTGACCTGGAGTCAACAGAGAGTTGTGATCTGTCGATGTGGATGCTGGGAACAAAGCCATCTCTTCAGCCATTATTGTTGTGTTCAACTGAAGACAGAGGTTTCTGTCCCACCTGGTCCCAAATAAAAACACAGAAGCTTATATTAATTATACTCATGCCAATACATAGTTTAATAGAAATAGGTTAATAATTGAGAGAGCTAGCCAATAAGCAGCCTGAGTCTTTGTCCAAACCGTGTGTTTATTTGGGAATAAATGGCTGCGGGATGGGCAGGATAGAAACTCCAACATCCAACTTGTAACCTGTTGGCTGCATATAATTCATGTAGTTAAGAATAACTATGGGAAAATGGGAACACAAAATGGGAAAACTTAAGAAGATGAAATTAAGGACTAGAGAGATGATTCAGCAACTAAAAGCACTTGCTGTTCTTACAGAGGACCTGAGTTGGGTTCCCAGTATCCAAGTTGGGATCTGAGGACCTCTTCTGGCTGTCAAAGGTACACATATACATATACTCACACATGTGGCACGCACACACACGCACACGCGCGCGCGCGTGCGTGTAAATAAAAATAAATCTTAAGGAACCAGAATTAGTGGCACAAGCATTAAACCCTGTCTCAAAAACGAAACAAAAAATCTTTAAAAAATTATGAGATTGCATTGGCAAGAACATTCTGAGGGTTTTTTTTTTTGTTGTTGTTTGTTTTGTAACTCAGTTGCAGGGCTCTCCAGTGTGGAACTTTGTAGATGACAAAACTGTGTTGCAATGTCAGAAAGTTGGGCCGCCTTGGAGGGTTTTGCCCTAGCGGCCGGCCGCAGTTGTGGGAGGAGGAGCAGGCGTTCACTTTGTACATTGACTCTCTGCTTGCCGCTCTGGAGCAGAAGGTCCACACTCTTCAGTTTCCTCGGGGTGAAGAGGACTCTGGGATTTTCCTTGCACTTTCAGGGCCCTGGTCAGGTACCTAGTCTTCACGGTGATGATGATGTCCCTTAGCACCGCTGAGGTGCCAGCGTCCTATGGGATTCCCAGGATGAAGCTTGAGGTTTCCCCCCAGCTGATAGGAGCAGCAGGTTCCCCAGGCGGGGCTTTGAACACTTGAGGCCGGATCTGGCCAGGAAGGCCTTCGAGCCCCCCAGGACCCCAGACTACCAGCTCCAGGAGTGCTATGGGACAGGTGATAGCCAAACTGATGCGAATCTTTGGGAGCCAGGGTAAGGGGCACACCGGACAGCCCAATGACCTCTTTGATTCCGCTGTCTTCTGGCGCTCTTGGGATTCGGGGGTTGTAGGGGGAAGACTGACTGGGAACCTTGCCCTTGTAGAGTCCGTTGTGTGCACTCCCACACGCTCCACGGCCTCCCCTCCGCTGTCCGCTTCACAACTCTCCAGTCCCTGCGCTTCAATGTGCTCAGGGGTGGGGGAGCCCCCGGCCCTACCCCACCACCCAGCTGGGCTAAGCTCAACCCGGATAAGTGAGTGTCTTGCGATGGTGACTTAGAGGCCAGTGTGCTTTGGAGCCCAAGAAAATCCCTTTTTAGAAGCGCGGAGGGAGATGGAATGGGGTCAGCTATCTCTTCCACGTTCTTGAGAGGTGCTGAGGTCCAGTCTGATGGCAAGTCAAGTGGTACAGTCTCCAGCCCGCTAGGGACGAGTTTCCCAGGGATTGGGAGCGGGGCCCACGGGGACCGACGATGGACCCACACGGCCCAGAAAACTGAGTTCTACATCAGTGTGGTTGGGTTCGGAGATTGCCAGGGGGAGGGGTGGGGCCGGGAGAGGAGAGGGCACCCAGGCGGGAGCAGAGGGTGAGGAAGAGACCAGGGCAGATGCCTGCTGGGGACACCCAAATCCGTGGTTTTCGGGGTTGGCTCTGACCTTGCCCTTCCCCTGGATGCTTCCAGAGCACAAAGTCATCGTGGGGCTGAACAATGCAGGAAAGACCACCATTCTCTACCAGTTGCAAGTTACTTGGGGGACAGAGAGAGCTAGGCCTCACACCTGTCATTTGGGCAGAGCCCTTCTCCGGGTTTCGCCGGCAGCTGGAGAGCAGAGGGGTGATGGGAGGGCGCTGGTGTGACCTTCCTGGTTTAGTGGCTGTAGGCTTGGACTTGAATCCTGCAAGCTGCGGGAGACCCTCAGTCTCACCGCCTCCCGCAACCAGTTCCTACCTTATTTCAGTCCCTGCAGGTTTGAAATGCCAGGTGGTTTCTCGCCTCGCTGCTCTGGGCTCCCCCTGGCGGCAGGGCGCTTCTCGCCCTTATAAAGTTCTGCAGTTCAAACAGCCACCTGCGCTTTCCCAGGCGGTCGCCCAGGATGGAGTCTCTCCTGATTTGGAGACTACAAGGCACCTATTTATTTAGGGCAAGTGCTTCTCTGAGAAATAAATGTAAATATTCGAAAAGAAAGGTCTGGCGGTGTAGGTCAGTGGTGGATTGCTTGCCTAGAATTCTTGAGACCCTAGATTCCTGACACTGTTAGATGAGAAAAGAGAAATTCAAACAGTACGAAATCCTTACTCCTAATCTTCTGCTTTATAACTTTTTGGTAAGCTTTCAGAAAACATGAGTAAATGGGGCATAGCAGTCCTTGCCTATAATCACAGAACTCTGGAGGTTAAGAGAGGAGCAACTCATATTTGAGGTCATACAATGAGACATGACCATTTAAAAAAAGAAAGAAAAGAAAACAAATCTCCCCAAGGGGGGGGGGGGGAACTAAAACAAACAAAAAAGTTTTATTTTTTTGTGGGGGGGGTCAGGGTTTCTCTCTGTATTGCTTTGGAGACTTTCCTGGAGCTTGCCCTGTAGACCAGGTTGGCCTTGAGCTCACAGAGATCCACCTGCCTCTGCCTCCCAAGTGTTGGGATTAAAGACATGCACCACTAGCACCTGGCCAAAAAAAGCTTTTCTTTTTTTCTTTTTTTTTTTTCCAAAAAAAAAAAGCTTTTTTAAACCAGGGAAGTGTCTGATGGTCCTCACTTGGACCTGCATGGTTCTTCACAGCTCCCACAATTCCATTGTGGTCCACAGACCAGAGCAACGCCACCATGTGGGAGTTTAGCACATTACAAGCCGCTGGGCCTCGGAGGTTGTTCTTTTTTTTTTTTTGGTTTTTCGAGACAGGGTTTCTCTGTAGCTTTGGAGGCTGTCGTGGAACTCGCTCTGTAGACCAGGCTGGCCTCGAACTCACAGAGATCCACCTGCCTCTGCCTCCCGAGTGCTGGGTCGGAGGTTGTTCTAAGGAGCCCTCCTCTCTGGGGTCCCAACCCAGGCCACACTTGGACTAACTCATACCTTTCTTTCCCCACACCAGTCACAGACCATTGGCCTTGGCGATTGCTTGATGGCCCAGGGCTGAGTGTTCTGAACTGGACTCAGCTGCTCTGGGGGTAGAGGGGTGATGGCCAGAGCCTTCTCTTGTCTCTCTAGCCTGACCAATGAGGTGGTTCACACGTGTTCCACCATTGGCAGCAACGCTGAAGAAGTTGTTCTTCAGAAGATCCACTTCCTCTTGTGGGACTTAGGGGGCCAGGAGGCTCTGCGCTCTGCCTGGGACACATACAACTCCAATACTGAGGTGAGGAGGGAACCGGGTCTGGGAGGTCGCAGAAACGGCTATATTAGCCTATAGGTCACTCACCACACTCTCTGAGCCTAGCTTCTGTTACCTGGGATGTGACTGAATAACGGTCACTCAAGCTGTGCTGAGAAGGAAATAATAACAAGCCATGTATCAAATATTTAACATTGTGTAGACCCGTGAAGATTTTTTGAAACCTAAAAAACCAAAAAATTAAATATATAAATACAAAGATTTTCAAATTCTAAGATGAGTGTGGTGGTCCATGCCTATAATCCCAACACTTGGGGCAGGGAGACAGGAGGATCTTAAGTCTCAGACCAGCCTTGGATTACATACCAAGATTTTTGTCTTCAAAGAATAAAATATAAGGTGATTAAAAATGGGTCCATCAGCCGGGCGTTGGTGGCGCACGCCTTTAATCCCAGCACTCGGGAGGCAGAGGCAGGCGGATCTCTGTGAGTTCGAGGCCAGGCTGGACCGACAGCCTCCAAAACAGAGAAACCCTGTCTCGTAAAAAAAAAAAAAAAAAAAAAAATATGGGTCCATCCTGGTGCGAATGGCAGGTTGCACAGTTCCTTTCCTGTGGGGCTGGCACTTGGGCAGGGCAGAGGCCTAACCATTGGTAGGAAGGATGCTCACCAAGGACAAAGCTTGCGGCTCACATCTCGTTCCCGATGGGCAGTTTGTCATCCTTGTGATCGACAGTACAGACCGGAATCGGCTGCTGACCACCCGGGAAGAGCTGTGTAAGACGCTGGCCCATGAGGTAAGTGACTGGCTGTGTGCTCTCAGGCAGGTCACATGCTCGTTTATTACAGATGAAGGACCCTGTCAGTGTCCTCAGCACAGCTGAACACAGAAGCTAAAGCTGCTGGTTCAGGGACTGAGCTCACCCCTCACTCCCTGTGAGACCCCGAGCAAGCTGCTTCACTTCTGCTACCAAGGGGCATTGTTAGATTCTACCTCACAATGGGAATGGCGGCTCTCATATGCAATCTGGAAAGCTGAGGCTGACTGCCATGAGGTTGAAGCCAGCCTGGGCTCCACAAAGAGTTCCAGGCCAGCCTGGGCTACAGAGTAAGAGTTTGTTTTGGAAAAATAAACAACAACAAAACAATGTCTGAGGTTATTGTAGCCATCCTGTGTGCAGTAGAAAGATGTCCCATGAGCTGCAGCATCATTTGAAGCGGTTGCTAATGTCAGACTCGGTCTCCACCTCCATCTCACCAGGCCATGTGCCTCTCTTGCTAGGACAGTTGGCAGGGGTCCCAGAGCACTCTGAGGCTGTGGGAGGGTTGCTGGCTGGCTGACTGGACTCTTCTGCCCACAGACGCTTCAAGATGCCTCAGTCCTGATCTTTGCCAGCAAGCAGGATGTGAAAGACTCCATGACCACAGCAGAGATCTCCCAATTCCTCACAGGCACTGCCATCAAAGACCACCCGCGGCATATCCAGGGCTGCTGTGCTTTCACCGGAGAAGGGTCAGCCCTCACCACTCCTCTGCCTGGCCCAGCCAATGGGCAGAAGGCTACAGGCACCCCTCTCCTGTCTCTTTCCAGTCAGAATTTTCCCACAGTTGGCTCCATGCCCAGTAAGATGGACACAGGCCCATAGCTAAGGTCCTATGAGTCTGCAAAGCCTCTGTCCTCCAAAGACTAAAAGTCCCCCCAAACAGCAGGGGTCTTAGGTACTGAGAAACTTTTTTGGAGAAAGTGGAACGGATAAAGTGGCAGAAAGGCAAGGGTAACTCTGAATTTGTCTCCATGGTTGGGTAGCTGAGATCCTCCCAGTAAGAGGAAGAAGCTGTGGAAAGACTTCAGGTCATGGGCCTTCAAGGCAGAAATCACTGACTCTCTCTGAGTTTCTTACTTGTAAAAGGAGGGGATCATACTTCCCTCTCCCCCAGTTCTCCAGGGAGCGACTGGCATGATGTCTTCATTAGGTGTATTTGAATACCTGCTTTGTGCCAAGCACTGTTCTGGGAATTGGGAAAAATGGTGGTGAACAAACTAGACAAAAATTCCTGCCTCGGGGCTGGCAATCTAGCTGTACATGCCTGAAGCCCTGAACTATTGCACACCTGTAAGCCCAGTACTTGGGCAGTAGAGGCAAGAGGCTCAGAGGGTCAAACACATCCCCCAGTGAGGTCCAGGCTAAGCTGGGTCATGTATCAAGCCACCCCCCCAAAAAAACCCAAAAAAAACAAGACACACACACACACACACACACACACACACACACTCCCATGATGAAGGTTATTAGGGCTTCTAGTGTTTGGATCAGATACCTCAGAGTGTGACAAACTGAATTTCTCCAAAAGGGCCTTCCATGAGACCTGGAAATTTCCTTTCATCTCCCCTGTCTAGATACTTTTTTTGAAGAAAAGAAAACTTTAAATAAAAGAATCTGAGGGGCCACAGATTTCTGGCAATGTGTTTGTCACCATTAGGGACTCTGGTCTTCTCCCCTCTATAGTCTAATTCAGTGTACTCTCTGGGCCACGTGTGCAGCTCCGTAGGCTAAGCTATGTGATGACAGACATGGCCAAGTTCCCACTTTTGCTCTGGAGGTGTTTTTTTCCTCATGAGGAATTTGTCTCCTCCCAAGCCTTTGAGGTCACCCTGCTGCTACTCCTAGTGACAAAGCAGGACAGAGAAGGCTTGCCCAGAGACTGTTCAGGGGCCCAGGAAGGTGAGTCTTCCATTCCCTCTGCTAGACTGCTTCTCCCCAGGAGCCCCAGTGCCCACCGCAGTGGGTGCTGATGCATTCTGGAACTCAGCTCATTTCCCTTCTACCATTAAGTTATTGAATATAACCTTGGCTACCCTCTCAGTCTGTCCCAGGCAAAGGCTTGGAACCTTCCAGTCATCATCTTATGGGAAAGGCTGATGGTCCCTCCTATTCCTCCTCCCTGCAGGCTGCCAGCTGGTCTTCAGTGGCTGCAATCTCGGGCCACCAACAGCTGATGTTCCAACCTGAGGCCAACCAGAAGCCACATGGTTAGCACCGGCGAGAAACCCCAGCCATTTGCTGGTGGCTGTGGACAGAGAGATTGCCCCTGTCCTGTCAGTTGTCACTGAGGGGCTGGATCAAAGGCTTCAGGTCGGCACAGACAGGCCCCCAGATGAAACTGTCACCCACTCCATCACTGCAGGCACTAGGAGACTCGGGAAAACTGCTGGATGTGTTGGGGGGATCCTCTCCCAGGCCTCACCTTCTGTCTGTCCAGAAAGCAAGAGATCTTTGATTTTGTGCCATACCCATGGGATAAAGGGGATCCTGACCAAGGAGGCAACAGGACCTGGCCAAAAGTTGGGGGGTGGGGCGGGATGGTGAGGCAGAGAATGGGAGGACAGAACATTCTAGACAGGCGATCCTTACACCGCAGGAGTTGATGCCCTCCCGTCCCCCTGCCTTTCTGCTCCCTCTGGGATGCTGACTCTGGCCACAGCTTTTGGGGTCTAAGTTACCACGTGGAATCTCCTTCCTTCTCAGTGTCCTTCCGGTGTGAGTCCTACTCCTCTCAAATGTCACAGGTTCTATAGGACCCACTTATTTTTGTCTTTGTGTCATGATCAAATGAAACAAAACCTTGCATTAAGATTTACAAAGTAAGCCTGGCGTTGGTGGCACACGCCTTTAATCCCAGCACTCGGGAGGCAGAGGCAGGTGGATCTCTGTGAGTTCGAGACCAGCCTGGACTACCGAGGAGTTCCAGGACAGCCTCCAAAGCCACAGAGAAACCCTGTCTCGAAAAACCAAAAAAAAAAAAAAAAAAAAAAAAAAAAAAAGATTTACAAAGTAAAGGTATATAGTAAGTGCTACCAAAACGTCTCACCTCTTATTTCTGTCTGTTCCTAAAACTGGCTTTTGTCACCTTGGAAACGGGATGGGGAAGCAGGGACTGCCTCAACGCTCCATTTGGCTAGAGAAGTCGGCTAGGGTTGGCCAGGTTGAAGGGCGTTGGTACCGGCTAACCAAGACTGGGGCAGCGATAAGAGGCTTGTGGTGATCCACTGAGGAGGGACTCCAGAGGGAGGGAAAGCCCCAGTGTCCTTTGGAGGTGATGCTAAAGATGGGTTGGAGGCCCAGATGCCCTTCTACATTCAGAGACCTAAACAGGATAGCATCTCCCCTTTCCAATCAGGCAGTGGACCTGTAGGGGAACCCGGCAGAGAAACAGAGGACCCAGTATTTTTAATTTTGCAGCTTCCCTGAGATGTGGTTATGAAGGAAAAGCTTGTGAATTCTAGACATTCCGGTCATACTTCATATTTCCATTAGGTTATTCTTTTTTTTTTTCTTTTTCTTTTGTAGGTGCTAAAGTACCTACTTATTTTTATTTGGTCAGGATATTTCACAATATAAAAAAGTCGAGGTTTCTTCATAGTCACAGTCATTCGTTCCACTACAACCAAACGCTGCTACAACACAGAATAAGCTGTCATTCATGAAGACGTCATGCGTGTAGTTGTCAGTGTCTGCATCCCCGAAACATCGAGCGGCCATGAATCCTCTAATCCTCTCTGTTCTCCAACCACGACTCGCACCACCATTTTATACCGGTCATGTCCCAATTCTTTTAGTTTATCTTTAGTGATTTCTGACAGATATTTCGTGAATTGAGGCATTTCATCGGGAGAATATTCAGCACTTGCCAGTTCTTCCTTGAGCACTGCATGGATGCAGTCTTTAACCACAGAGGGTCTAAACCTTTGCTGGAAAATGGGCCTCAGAATATAGGTGTTCTCGGGCTCCCCTGTGTTCTAGTCGGCCTCGAACAAGCCTCGGTGGCACCCACAGAGAAGCGGGTGGACGCAGACATAATCCCGCATCTGGATCCTGCGGATCTCTACAGCGAGGCCTAGATGATCGCTGCTGCCCCTAGGTCCCGGAGCGCGTCCGCCTCCATTAGGTAATTCTTGACATAACAAAAATGTATCAGTTCTATAGAAATCTATTCCATTGAAATTAATTCTGATGAACCTTGTTAGCGTAACGGGGGTATAGCTCAGTGGTAGAGCATTTGACTGCAGATCAAGAGGTCCCCGGTTCAAATCCGGGTGCCCCCTCACGGCTTCAAGCCGTGCATGCCTTTTGCTGAACAAGCCGACCCGTAACATGACACTTTAGAAAGGGGGACTGGACTCCCCGAGGCCACCTTATTTTGCTGACGTGTGCTGTCCTGCAGTTGCTGCAGTCCAGTGTACGTCCTTGGCCAGAATGTGGCCGGAGCCGAACCTCTCGGCTAACCGATCCCTCGAGGCAGCCGCTCGAGAACCGCGGGGCGCGCGGAGTGGGGTGGGCGGGTGCGGGTGAGCTGGACGGCTGAGTGTCTGGGGATGGGGCTGAGGCTGGAGGCAGAAGGTCGGGAGAAGTCGCGTGAACGTGTAGGAGGGAGAGAAGAGAGAACGCGGAGGAACAGTGGCGGGGCTGCAGAGTGGGACTCCGTCCAGGGGAGCGCCCGGGCCGCGAAGGGTCGATCGCCTCCATCTTTCTGGTCACGTTTTTGTGTACTATCAGAAGGACTCGCAGAGCGTCAGGAAACACCTTTTGTTTTCAAACGAGCAATCGTCACGCCAGTTTCCTACGTTTCTTGAAAATGTCGGACCTGATTCAATTTTTATAGATGCTTTAGAGCGCCTGCGCTAGAATCGCACTTAATGATTACTGGCGCGGTGTCGCCGGCAGAGGGGGTATAGCTCAGTGGTAGAGCATTTGACTGCAGATCAAGAGGTCCCCGGTTCAAATCCGGGTGCCCCCTGGACGCTTTTTGGACAGTTTTTGTTTAGATGGCTTTTTTATGTTCCATGTGTTTTTATGGTAAATATTTTCTGGCCAATTTTCAGACGGTCGGGAATTGATAACGGATCCAGGAACTTGTCAAGTGTGACCAGCGGCTGCACTTAGCAGGTCCATGCTAGAAATGAAGATCCCTGTGCTCATTTCTGACCCAGAGAAACAGCCTGGGGTGCGGCTAGAAATGTGTTTTCTGAGGAGAGCCCCAGGTGCATGCCCAGGTTCTAGAGGCTTGCCTTTAGAAACTTGGAAACATCGTTTGCTTCTGATACTTCCAAGTTTCTGCTTTTGCCTGAACCCTAATAAAAGGTCTTACAAAAATGCGGGCACCAAGTCTGGCGGTGCACGAAGACACCAGAACTGCGGCTGGAGGTCCATCTTGGGACGCTCTAGAGGCTCTCCACGGCGCCTGCGCGGACGGGCAGAATCAGGAGGGCTGCTAAACGGCAGGCGGGTGGTTCGTCCCACGTCCACTGGGTGGCGGTAGGAGGCCGCAGCCAGAAAAGAGCCGATTCGAATCCCTCCCCCCCCCCTTCCACTGTCAAGGGAGAATTCGGGTTAGGCTCTCTTGGTGGATTCACGCCTGTAATCCTTTCAGTAAACCAGAAACAGGTAGGGTGGCCGTGAGTTCGAAGCCAACCTCGTGTAAAATGGAACTCCCTGTGTGGAAAAAACAGTAGCAACAAAAACCTTCCATTGTGGAGCTTGCCTTGGCCCGTGTTATCCCATAGAGGGCTGAGGTCCGAGGGAGGCAATCTCTGGGCTCTTCGACCCGGAGGAGAGTGGAAATAGGATCCTGAGAGACGAGAGAATTTAGTTTTCATTTCCTTCCTCGGGTCCTTCTTTTGACTGCAGTGTCAGGCCGCTCACCTGCTCTGTCCCCAGCCGCCCCTTCCTTCTGGGGATGTGACCCGTGAAGCAGCCTGTCGCCCTTTCTTCCCGCACTGTGCAGGTCTCCAGCACGGAGGAAGCCCGGGGCCCCTCAGCCTGCTCCGCTCTCCAGGCCCCAGTTCTTCGTCTTCTCACGAAGTAGGGCACAGGCACCTTCGCGCCTTGACCTGGTTCCATGCCGTCTATTAAATCTCCTAAATTGCGGGTATTTTTATTCTCTCCTGGAAGGGGAAAAAAAAAAAAGTGTCCTATTCCCAGAGCCCGGTAGAGGTGGTGGCCGTGGGCACCGCTTTGATTGGATCTGGCCTCGGGGAGGGGGCGTCCGTGCAGCTTCAGAGTGGGAATGTGCCAGAAGCCTGCACCTACACGTCTGCTGGGCTGCGGGGGGAGCCTGTGCTGGGGATGGGGTGTGGAGTAGAGAAGTGGGGGATGCAATTCGCGCCCCCACTGGGGCAGAAGCTGGGGGGCTCCGCTGCGGGAGATTCCTGGTGCGTGGGTCGCTGTGTGCACTTACGCAGAACACCAGGGAGCCACAGAAGTGCAGGGACAGCTCAGAAAGTCACGTGCCCTGGGGACGAGTGAGTGGCAGGAGCCAATGGCCCAAGTAGGGGCGCTTCCTGGGGTCTCCACCGCGGCCTTTCCCCTGCTCTTCCGGGCCAGCCGCGTTCTCTCAGTGACCAGGGGTGTCTCGGCGCGGTCTCGAGTCCGGCGGGGCGCGGCGCGTGCGGAGCTCCAGGAGGCGGGGACCCCGGCGTCGCGCCCCGCCCTCCGGGTCCTCCCGCCCGCGCTCCCCGAGGCCGCAACGCCGCGCTTCGCTCGCGGTGCCCGATCCACTCCTGCTCCCCACTCGCCCAGCCCGGGGCAGCTCCCTCTCTAGCCGCTGCCGCGGGGACCCTGAAGCGGTCCGCTCCCACCATGCAGGCTCAGCTCTGGCTGCTGCAGCTGCTGCTGCTCGGCGGGGTCGCGCGCGCTCTCAGTCCCGCAACACCCGCAGGTAGGATGCGCTGGCAGGGCAGGTGCAGACCCGCCAGCGGGACGCGAGATGTTGTCCGCGGGAGGCCGGGGACCGGGGACCAGGCACCCTACTTTCCCCGTGTGCTCACAGAGGGTGCGCACGACGTGGAGGGACCCAGCCAGGGGTCTCCAGAAGAGTCCCAGGGACCGCGATCGTACAGGGCGGCGTTCGTTTGCCTTTCCATGTTCTTCCCTGCTGCCACCCTCGGCTGCTCTAGGCTGGGTCCCAGTTGGGCTTGAAGACTGCGTGGGAGCCGCCGGAGGATGGGGACACCCTAGCCAAGCCTTTCTCTCTGGCACCAGCGTGGCCGTCTAACTTGCTTCTACGACCTCTTGCGTACCGGTGGAGAAGCGGGGGCCGCAGGAAAAAGCAGCTTGCTGCTTCTGCATCTCCCAGAGTTAAGGGTCCCCTCACCCTCCTGGTGGTTCTGCTTGGCTCTCTGTTGCCCTGACTGTGCTGGGGGTGGAGGTGGGGGCTGGGCGGGAGGGCAGTGGGGGAGGACCTTCCATTCTGCACACTCCTCTTTCGCCTGTATCAGTTTCTTAAGCCATTTCTTCCACTTTCGGAGATCTACCTTGAATCCCTCATGTTACCAAGAAAGGCCATTTTCAATATATAACTTAGGTTCTGCACACAGACTTTCTCTGGGGCTGGGAATAAGGGTGATCAAGCTCCTTGAAAGGGAGAATTGGGTGCCCCTCATTTGGGGTCAGGGAAGGGTAGTTCATGGGTCGCTGCTGTTGGCCCTAACTGTGTCCTGGACTTTTAGTGGTCACAGTATGTAGTTCAAATGAACCTGTGTTGGGATGAGATGGTTTGGGTCGCGGTGCTGGTGATGACAGCGGGGCAGAGGGCAGAGAAGTCACACGTCTAGAGACTGGTGTGGCGCCGTCAGTGTTCAGGTGGCTGGACACTTGGCTTCTAGTTCTGCTGTCTCACTTGCTATGTGACCTCGGGCAAGTCACTTGCCTTCTTGGGCCTGTTTCTTGATGTGTAAAGTGAGGTTACTGGTGAAATCTTCGGCTTTTGGAAGTGGGATTATGAAAGATCTTTCCCCTTCTCAAGATATTCTCCCCAAACATGCACAGGCCAGAAGACAGAAAAACAGATGACAGACAGGAAGATGACTGACTTCAGAGCCCAGGGAATGGACCCTGAAGGTCTGGTCCCAGGGAAACCAGAGACACCTGGGACACACAGAAGGGAGAATCTTGCAGGCAGCCATTTCCAACCTACCTGGGGCCCCTACTCTCTGAACCAAGGCTGCTTGTCTCTAGAGAGGGAACTGAGCAGAGGTCTCAGAACCCGTCCAACCGTTATCTGCTTCCAGAGTCTTCCTTGCCCCACTAATATACTGTGCCTGACCTTCAGACCTCACAGTGGCTGCTGACATAGCTACTGCTCCCTAGCAGTCCCAGGACCCCTCTTCACAGAGACCCACCCCGCCGGCAGGGCCAGACAGCAACCCTACTCTCGGGCCTGAGTCACTGTGCTGTGTCTATGGGAAGAAGTCTAGAATGTTTGGGCTCAGGATCGTGCCTGCCTGTCACTGAGAACTCCTCCACCCCTCACCGCAACTTGTATGGAAACCTGCTCAGTAAGTGTGCGTGGGAAAGCTGGGCATGGTGGGACCACGCTGAGAGCAGGGTCATCCTCAGCTACGCAGGGGGTCTGAGGCTAGCCTGGGCTACAGGAAACCCAGTTTAAAACAAAGGTGCTTCTGACTGATCCCTTTCTGGGGTAGCCTTCAGAAAGCAGAGCCCCTCCCCCGCCCCGTGTCATCATCATCTTCTTCATCGTCATCGTCATCATCGTACCCCCTCCTTCTGCTACCTGGTGTCCCTCTTCCTTGTCCATGTTTCTGTCTTTCTAATCTCCAAGGTGAGGGGCGGGGTCTCTGCAGCAGGGGCTTTATAAGTAGGAGGCGGGATTAGTGAAGCCTGGGAGGACCTTGTGGGAAGCAAAGAATAGGACTTTGAGATGCGGTGTCATGTAGCCCAGGCTGGCTCTAAACTCACCGTGTAGCTGACTTTGAGATGCGGTGTCATGTAGCCCAGGCTGGCTCTGAACTCACCGTGTAGCTGACTTTGAGATGTGGTGTCATGCAGCCCAGGCTGGCTCTGAACTCGCCGCCACGTAACTAAAGGTGACCTTTAACTTCTGATCTTCCTGCCTCCACCCAACAATACTGGGATCACAGACACAATGCCATTCTGTCATGTTTACATGGCACTGGAGTATTGAACCCAGAGCTTCCCACATGCTAGGTAAGCATTCTACCAACTGAGCTACATCCCGGGTCTGGGTGGGGTGTCAGTTTTGCTGGCTGCTTTGTGTACAGTTTTGTTAAAGATTCAGCCTAGTAAGTGGCCGAGCCGTTCCCATCCCATCTTATATTAGAGATGAAAGCTTCTAGAGAGTTTGTAAACTGTGGTGTCATGGTTTAAGGTTGGGCCTCCAGCTTGGTGACAAAACTGTGTTCTTCCACTACTGTGATAGGTCAGTGGGGCCTCCAGCTGGGCTGTGCCCGAGGGAGGGTCTCCTCTGTCCTACGAGGCTTGGCGCTGGCCTCGCCGTCCTTGCTGCCAGCCTCCCTCATTCACCCACTGGTGCCCCTTCAACTCTGGTCCTTGCAGTCAGTACCCAGAATTCTAGATGCACGGGCAGTAAAGGGCATGATGGGCCAGAGGGCAGCCTGGGTGGTGTGCCTGGCATCTGGGCAAGGGGAAGGGAAGCATCAGGGAGGCTCTGGAGGGAATGACATGTTGCCACACTTGAGGGAAAGGATTTTTCATCAGGTGAAAAGGATAGTTTAGGAGCAGGGTGGTCTTGGCTGAGGAAACTGAGAGCAGGGCTGGGTTCTAGCCTCAAGGGCTGTGAGGAAAAGCAGGGATTGGCTGCAACTGCTGGGTCAGTGGGGGAAGGGTGCCTGAGAGATGGAATCCCGTGGGTCTCCCTAGCTGGAGCTGTGCGGACTACTGGCTGAATCGTGCACAGAGTGGATGCTGAAATGAATATCCAGAGAGAATCTCAGGGGCCGGAACAGGATGGTGGCAGTATGGCTGGAAGGACTAGCTTGAGTGACAAATGGGCTTGTTGTAGGGTCAGGCCCTGGTAGTATATCCTGGCTCTTCCTCAGCCCCAGCCGCAGGTCAGGGAGTGGGAGCATCACCTTTGTTCTCCCCCACACCTTGTCAGGTCACTAGTCTCCCAAGGCAGCTCCCATGTTCAGACCAGGGGTACCCTCCAGGAACCCAGGCGTGGGGCTGCCCCTGTACCTTAAGAGACAATCTGAGAGTTTCTAGTCACTTCTTTTGTAGCCCAGGCTGGCTTTAACCAAAGGTTCTCCCTCCCCAGCCTCTGGAATGATGGGATTACAGGGTGTTCCATCCTGTCAGCTTCCTATCGTGTGTGTGTGTGTGTGTGTGTGTGTGTGTGTGTGTGTGTGTGTATTTTTGACAGGGTCTCATTATGAAGTCCTGGCTCAAAAAATTGCTATGTTGACCAGACTGGCCTTGAAATCACAGAGATCTGCCCACCTCTGCCTCTAAATGCTGGGATTAAGGGCATGTGCTACTATGCTTGGCCTTATTGCTCTGTGTTCTGTGGTTCTGACCAGACAGGAGCCTGAGTTCAAATCTTGCTATGGATTGATTGGGTGGCCTTGAGGGGGTTGTTTAGCATCTTCAGGCCTTGTTTCCCCAATTTATAACATGGATCTAAAGATGGTGCCTATCTCCTGGGGTTGACTGACATGAGGGATGAAAGTGTGTGTGTGTGTGTGTGTGTGTGTCTGTGTCTGTGTGTGTGTATACTTGAAATAGTGCAGCTAAGATGACGGTCATCCCTCTAGATGATGCTGTGCTTCGAGGCGAGTGACTGAATTCAGCCTCTGTTCTAGAAGTGAGTGACAGAATGGTTACTGAGAGGCAGCAACAGGGGCAAGGGTGTCCTAGGGTATCTGGGCATGCCACCTGTGGGAACCATCAGGCTTCACGGCTGTGTGACCGGCCACCTACACTGCCTCCTGCTATGTCTAAGAGGTGACCTGGCTCATCCAGCTGGGAGGGGTGAGAAATGCTGACATGCTGAAGCTCAAGAGACACTTTGGGGATTGCTAGCTCTTTGTAGCGTCCTCTGCTCTAACTCTATCATCCTGCACAGATCCCGTGCTGCGCCCCTGCTCCTGGCTGGTTGGAACCCCATCTCTGTTTTTGCTCAATGACAGAGCAAGCTGTTGTTGGCATGGCTGTCACACAGGGAAGCTGAGGTTGCAAAGCTAAACTGCCAGGTCCCAGCTTGAAGGTGGTGGGCAGGAATGGACCGTCCTGTGGGCATCCTGTCTCCCCACCTGACATCCCTCTCCGTAGTCAGTCCAGGACAGATACTTCCTGCCAGCCCACACGTCAGCCCTTCCTCTTGGTTTCCACCTCTGGCTCCTGCCCTCCCCGTGGGGCCACTTGCGGGAGGATTGGGGGAGAAGGCCACCCAACTCAGCACAAACAGCCTGCCACAAACAGCCATGGCCTTGCCGGTGAGGCCAGGCAGGTTGTGTGGGGCCGAGTACTGGGCTTTGCGCTATTTGTTAGATATCTTGTGGAAGAGGTCAGAACTGCCCCTCTGCCCACATTCTCCAGGAGCATCTGGTTATGATTAAGGGCAGAGACGTGAGAGGGGCCCTGCGAGAGTCCAGCAGGCACCAGCAGCCAAGAATGACTTAATTGGATAAAATGTCTAATGACAAATGAGAGCTCCCCGGCAGCATCCTGGCCAGGCCCCAGGCCTGGTCCAGCCAAGCCTTGCTTCAGCCTCTGTCCTTGCTGCTACCCAAGAGCTATCACCTAGTGGAGTGGCCTCAATTATGCAACAACTGAGCACTTACTGTATGCAGGGCTCTCTGAGGAGAGTGGAGAGAGGCCTGAGGAGCGCAAGTTTCCCAGGGAGAGGGCACAAAGTTGCCTCAGAGAGGGGATCTAGGACAGGAGCTTTGGTGAGCAAGGTGGATGGAATCAGAGGTGGAGAGGAGAGAGGTATCTCCGATTGAGGACCCAAAACTGATGAAGGCCACAGGCAGGGTGATCTGTGTCCTTTATATATCCAGGCCAGGTGTGACAATCAGAACACCAACATAGGGCCCAGCTTTGGGAACCTAACGCTCTGAAATGGAAAGGGATGCTTTTCAGCATCATTTCAAATCAGTTTAGCAGCCCTATGACAGCTGGAGCCTTGGAACAACTGCTTCTGGGCAGCCACTTGCCAATCCTGTGCTCATGACAGACATTGCTAATCTATCATGACACTCTCTGCTGCTAAATACAAATGAAGTCTTGGGATTCCTACTGAGAATGATTCTGGCTGTCATTAATTAATGGGAGATGGTGTTTGAGATGAGGTGAAACCTCTTCTAGCATCCCAGTTGCTTTCTCCTCCTCTTGTTACACAGGAAAGTGATTTGCCTGAGATCAGAGCTTGAAAGTAGTGATGGAGCTAAAACCATTGTTAGCATTTAGGCATCTATTCTGGCCTGTCCTTGGGGTTCTGACAGGCAACATCTCCAGCTGCAGACACTAAGAGCAACCCCTGTGCACATTTACTACATTCCTTTATAAAAGGGCCCTGCCCCCTCCCTCCCTCCCTCTCCCCCTCCCTCCCTCTCCCCCTCCCTCCCTCTCCTCCTCCCTCCCTTCCCCCTCCTTCCCTCTCCCCGGTCCTCCTTCTCTCCCTCCCTCCCCTCCTCTCCCTCACACCTCTCTCTGTCTCTCTCTTCTGCCCACTCCTGTCCCCAGAGATAGTCTCCGAACCCCTTCCCCCTTTCCCATCACTTTCCCCCAATAAAAAAAAGTCCACTCAAGCTCTGTCCACGAAGTTTTTTTTTAAAAATTACAACAATTATGTCCTTTAGTAGGACAAGGAAACACACACCTTTGGTTCTAGCACCCTAGAGGCAGATACAGGCAGATCTCTGTGATTTTTTTTTTTTTTTTGGTTTTTCAAGACAGGGTTTCTCTGTGGCTTTGGAGGCTGTCCTGGAACTCATTTTGTAGACCAGGCTGGCCTCAAACTCACAGAGATCCGCTTGCCTCTGCCTCCCAAGTGCTGGGATTAAAGGCGTGCGCCACCAATGCCCAGCTAGATCTCTGTGATTTAAGGCCGGTCTCATTTACATAGCCAGTCCCAGGTCAGGTAGGGCTAAGTATTGAGGTCCTGTTTCAAAACAAACAAACCAAATCAAGTGGGCAAAGTAGAAGTATCTGTTTCCAGGGAGTTTCTGGTTTTGTCTTTTCAGCAGTCAAAGCCAGTGGGGGAGGAGAGTGGGGTGTGACAGGATCCAGAGGGTAGAGAGAAAAGATGCTATTGAATAGCTTACAAAACTATGATCCAGGCCAACAAGCCACCAGACTTAAAAATGGGCCAAGGACTTAAACATGCTCCCAAAGAAAGCATACAAACAGCCAGTATCACACGAAACGATGCTCATTCTTACTAACCATTAAAGTAATGCAAATAAAAACACAAGTATGTATCACTTTCTGTCCACTGATTAGAATGGTTACTACCAAGACTTGACGATGCTGTGAAGAAATAGGAAACCTCAGACATCACTGAGAAGAGAAACTGACCTATGAGTCTGGAGACATGGCTCAGGGGTTGAGAGCGCTGGCTGCTCTTCCAGAGACCTGGGTCTGGTTCTCAGCACCCACATGGCAGCTCACAACTGTCTGTAACTACAGTTCCAGGAGATCCAATGCCCTCTTTTGGCCTCCTGGGGCACTACATGCAAACAAAACAAAATAAAATGAAATACAAATAATTTAAAAATGTACAAACAAATGAACTAGCATAGCCACTTCACATGGAAAATAGTATGGGAGAAAATGGAATTACTATAGGAACCAACAATTCCAGTTTTGGGCACATAAGCCAAAAAATTGAAAACAGGTCCCCGAAGAGATGCTGTTCCTCTTAGAATCATTCATGATCTCCAACTCATGAACACAACCCAAGTTTCTGTAGTCAAATGATCAGATAAGCAAAATATGGTATAGCATGAATACCATTTAGTCTTCAAAAAGAACACAGCTGCACCTGGAAGACATCATGCAAAGTGAAATAAGCCAATCACAAGAGACGTATTGTATGGTTACACTTACATGAGACATACAGAGTATTCATAAAACAAAGGTAGAAAGTAGAAGGACAGCCTGGTGTGGTGGTGCACACCTTTAATCTCAGCCCTCAGGAGGCAGAGGCAGGTGGATCTCTGTGAGTTTGAGGCCAGCCTGGTCTACAGAGAGAGTTCCAGGACAGCCAGGGCTACACAGAGAAACCCTTTCTCGAAAAGAAAAGAAAGAAAGTAGGATGTAGTTGGACAGGTAGGTCAGTGGTAGAGCCTGGCAGGTGTGAGGCTCTGAGTTCTGTCCCCAGTACCTTTAACCTCTGAGCCAGGTCCTGGTTTGCCAGATAAACCACGTCCACTGTGGAGGGCTGAGAGGTTAGCATTGTATGTGCCTGTTTCTGGGCGTGGTTCTCAGTCTGTGTTGTGAACCTCTGTCCTGGTCATCAAGTGTCCCCAGAGCCAATGATGGTGTAGTGTTGAGGCTTCTGCAAGGTAGGAGGTCTGGCCCCCTTCTCACATCCTTCCTCAGGGCCACCAGCACTGACTGTTCTGTCCCTTCTCCTAGGTCATGATGAAGGCCAGGGCTCTGAATGGACTGCTAAGAGGACCAGGCAAGGCTGGAGTCGGAGAGCCCGAGAGAGTCCTGGGCAGGTGTTGAAGCCAGGCAGGACTCAGCTAAGCCAGGACCTGGGTGGGGCCTCGCTGGCCATTGACACACTCCCGGACAACAGGACCAGGGTGGTGGTAAGTGTGAGCCAGCATTGTGGGAGAGCAGAGCCGCGGCCTGCCTAGGTGTCTGGTGTGGGGACTGGACAGGATGAGGAACCCAGGGAAGAGGCAAGCTGACTCCAGCCTGGGTCATAGGATGAACGCATCTCAGAGTTTTGTGGGCTGCTGGCCTCCTCCACTAGGGCCCTGAGGGACAGAGCAGCCTGCTCCGGGATGCACAGTGTAGGCACTGAGCTCTGCCAGGACTTTGAGGAGAAAAACTGAGGATGACACAGTTACAGTACAGCTGCACGTGTAAGCTCCACGCTGTCACACTTCTGCACCATCTTTAGACTGTGGGGCCCTGAAGGTTAAGGACAGGGCCCACAGCAAGCCGTCCAGGTGTCCTCAGGCACTTTCTGGGCCTGGGGGCGGGGAGCACTCTGTGGGAGGAGATAACTCTGAAAGCTGACGGGCCTCTGCGTCCATATGTGAGTGTAACTGGAGGCGTCTGCACCTGTGGCTGGGGACGCTTGCCTGTTATGTCCGCGTGCCCGTAGTTTGCCACTGCGGGCGGCTTGTGTCTGGGATGAGTGTGAGTGGGAGGGGGAAGGGTGGAGTCTCTCAGGATGCAGCAAAACTGCAGAAGCAGCAGCAGTGAGGATATGCTTCACAAGGTCTCCATTTTCTGTGTCTGAAGAACTTCCGGAAACTTCTAGACATCAGGCAGTGCTAGAGGTAGTGGGATGTGGCTGCCCATGCCTGTGAGCCCAGCTGAGGGTAAAGCTGAAGCCAGAGAATGACCAGAGCCCCAGAGTTCAGGGCCAGCCTGGGCAGTGCAGACCAAAAGTCATGCTGGAAGCACAGAAGAGTAACCACAGAAGACCCAGGCTGCCTCCTACAGTCCACAGGCTTCCACGCAGGAGGCCTCTAGGCTATTGTTTTCCAATTTGACCGCTTCTTAGGCTCCCTTAGTGAGTGAGCTTTGTTTCTTTGGCGTGGGGGTAGGGGGTGGGGCTTAAATACCCTGTAGGAGTGGTCTTTGAGTAGCTCCTGGGGAGAGCTACCACCTGGTAGGCTTTCTGAGGGCAGAGTCAGGGTTTGGAGAGGGAGGAAGGGGGCTTATGGGAATCTCACAGCTAAACAAAAGCTTGAAGGTTCTTCACCGTTTTCTTCTAATGTCACCGTGAAGGGATCTGCTGTAACCATGAGCACGGTGACTCATACCTATAATCCCAGCACTTGGGAGGTTGAGGCAGGAAGACAGCTAAGAATACAAGACTAGCCTGGGGTACCTAATGAGACCTCTACTTCAGCACAAGACTAGCCTGGGGTACCTAATGAGACCTCTACTTCAGCACAAGACTAGCCTGGGGTACCTAATGAGACCTCTACTTCAGCACAAGACTAGCCTGGGGTACCTAATGAGACCTCTACTTCAGCACAAGACTAGCCTGGGGTACCTAATGAGACCTCTACTTCAGCACAAGACTAGCCTGGGGTACCTAATGAGACCTCTACTTCAGCACAAGACTAGCCTGGGGTACCTAATGAGACCTCTACTTCAGCACAAATGTATCTGCGCCTGCTTCCCACTCCAAGGAGATTTGGTGTAACCTAGGGCATAGTGGCTCATGCCTGTAATCCCAGTATTTGGAAGGCTGAGGAAGGATTGCTCAGTTTGAGACCACTCAGCCTACACAGCAAGTCCTGTCTCGAAAAGGAAACCTGATGTTTAGTGTCACTCTTATTCCTGACCTGGTCATATACTTCTGTTTACTGTCATTTCAGCATTCTGAAATCATAGCTGACTGTCCAGGCTGGCCTGGGATTTACTATGTAGGACAGGCTAGCCTCCTACAGGAGCCACCACACTGTTGTGGGGTGCCCACCAGGGAAGACTGATTGGACATGGGTTTACGTCTGTAGAAAGTCTATTAGCCATCCAGGGACTACACTAGATGTTTGAGATCCCAGTGTAGCACTGAGCCTTTCTCAGAGTGAGTTTTAAACACAAGAAACCATGTTCTGGGCTGGTATATTTCAGGTAACAAGAACAGTTATCCAGAAGCAGAACTACAGAAGCAAAAAACCAGGATTAGTTCATTTAGAGACTTTCCCAGAACTATGGACTTCGATGAATCACGTCTTTGTTTTCATATTGACAGGTGGTACTATTTATGTGATGAGTTGGCCTGAATGGTACTTCCATCATGGAGTCAGTAGTGCTAAGGTCTTGGACCCTGATACACACACCTGGCCATGTTCTGCATTTCTAAGGCTTTTATTATTATTATTATTATTATTATTATTATTATATACATATATAATTTTAAGTCCTCTTTCTTGTTCCTGTGTTATGGAGGAAACATCTTTTCTCTCTAAGGCTATTTCATAAGCTTTGGGTGTTTTGGGTTTTTCACCCGCCATGTCATTTGTGATACTATGCTTACCTCAGTCTCTGAAGTAGTTTGACACCACTGATTCTGTCATTATTTAACATTTTGAGATTTCATTCATCAAAATATCACTAGTGTTTGGCACTAGTGTTGCTTTTGTTTGTTTGTTTTGTTTTTTGACAGGGTTTCTCTGTGTAGTCCTGACTGTCCTGGAACTTGATCTGTAGACCAGGCTGGCCTCACAGAGATCTGCCTGCCTCTGCCTCCCGAATGCTGGGATTAAAGGCGTGGTCACCACCACCTGGCTCTAACGTTGATTTATAAAATGCCGTATTTAAGATGTTCTTCTCAACTCCTGAACTTTGTTGGTTCCCTTATCATTGTGCCTGAGGCAAATGACTCCCTCAACAGACCCTCATCCCAGCCCCACAGCGGCCTCTCCAAGGACAAAGCCCACTCACTTCCCATTCTGTCTTGCCTTCTGGAACACTCAGAATTGAGGAGTAGGGTAGGTATAAAAGAAGGGAAGAGTGGACAGTCAGACCATGAGATGTCCCTAAGGAAGGGACTCCTGTTGGCTTACCCATTCCTCGATGCTTTCTCGGATTCTGGATTAAATAACTGGTACCTGCTCAGGGGCCGGGCACGATAGTCAGAAGGGTCATGTCCCATTCTGCACAAAGAGGACATCACTGGAACTAGCCACAGGGACAAGGACTCCTGGAAGCAATTGTCTGTGGGTGTTTAGTAGGAGCAATGCATTCCATGAGCTCTAGTGGACTCAGTAACACTAGGGCTTTAAGACAACACACAGTCTTGGGCTCCACTCTGGACAGATTAGTTCAGTAGCATTGAAGCCTGGGACTCATTTCTTCACAGTACCCTCCCATGGGGCTGGAGAGATGGCTCACGGCTTAAGAGGACCAGCTGCTCTTCCAGAGGACCTGGCTACTATTCTAAGCATCTACATGGCACAAGCATCTGTAACTCCAGTTTCAGAGGATCTGACACTCTTCTCCTTGCACACCAGGAGCACATGTGGTGCACACACATGTGCAGGCGGACACCTGAACAATATAATACAACAGAATGAAGTAATTTCAAAAATACAAGGGCTGGAGAGATGGCTCAGAGGTTAAGAGCACTGGCTGCTCTTCCAGAGGTTCTGAGTTCAATATCAACCACATGATGGCTCTGTAGTGAGAGCTGGTGCCCTTTTCTGGCATACAGGGATCCATGCAGACAGAACACTGAATAAATAATAAACAAACAAACAAATAAATCATAAAAAATACCTCCTTGGGGTAGGGGTGTAGTTCAATGGAGCATTTGCCTAGCATGTGTGAGGCCCAGGGTTCCATCCTTGCCCCTGAGAAGAAGGAAATAAATAACAAAACTCTGCATGTGGTTTTGGTGGGCGGCTTCGAGTAAGAACTTCTGGGATCTAAGATGTCCAGGTGATTTTGAGGTTTTTAATTTTTTTTTTTTGGTTTTTCGAGACAGGGTTTCTCTGTATTGTTTTGGAGGCTGTCCTGGAACTCACTCTGTAGACCAGGCTGGCCTCGAACTCACAGAGATCCGCCTACCTCTGCCTCCTGAGTGCTGGGATTAAAGGCATGCGCCACCAACGCCCAGCGGATTTTGAGGTTTTTAAAGAGACCTGTTTTAATTTACTTCGTATTTATGTGTATGTAAGTGTGTCTGTGAAAGTGTATGGTGTATGGCACCAGTGTACAGGTACCCCCAATGCCAGAAGAGGGTGTCAGATCCTCTGGAGCTGGATTTACAGGAAGTTATGAGTCAATGAATGTGGGAACCCCACTTGGGTCCTCTGGAAGAATTCTGTGTGCATTTAACCTCAGAGTCATCTCTCCAGTCCCTCCAAGCAGTTTTATAATGGTGGTCAGAGCTGGCCCAGAAGCTTGAGATAGGAAGCTCATAAATTCAAGGCCTATGTGGGATACAGAGTGATTTCAAGGCTAGCTTGGGCAACTTAGTGAAAAGCTGTCTCAAAAACAAAATGGATAGGACAGGTGTGGTGGTGCATGCCTTTGATCCCAGCACTCAGAAGACAGAGGCAGGAGGATCTCTATCAATTCGAGGCTAGCCTGTTCTATATAGTGAGTTCCAGGGCAACCAGGGCTGTGTAGAGAGACCCTGTCCCAAAAATAAAATAAAATGGTAAAAAGAGAGCCAGGTGGCCTAGCATTTGCCTAGGGTGCAAGACCCAAAGTCCAGTACTTAGTACTAAAAAAAAAGTGAGATATGGTAGTTCACACATGTAATCCCAGCACTCAGGAGGCTGAGGCAGGAGGATTACCACTAGTTCAGAACCAGTCTGGACTACATAGTCAATTCTAGAACAAAGAATGGGATCTTGTCTCAGACTTCCTGAAAGAAATAAGTCAGAAATAATGGCCAGGGTGACAGCCACAACACCAGGCTTTTCAAATGCACCTCATGGCAATACTTGAGTACATGACCTCCACCATCTGGGGGCTTCATGACCCCTTGACAACCACCCACCAAGAAACCACATTGCAGCTAGGCATGGTGGCACACGCCTTTAGTCCCAGCACTAGGCATGGTGGCACACGCCTTTAGTCCCAGCACTAGGAAGGCGGAAGTAGGTAGATC